GAGATTTCATCTTCTTGTCGCCAGAAGCAGCTGCTTTGGTGCGACGGGTCGTCATCCAGGAGAGATTCCAGGAACATGCCTCGCTCCATGTAGGCCTGCAAATCCCCGATCACCTTCCGCGCTACCTTAGCTGGAGCTACCCGGCCTCCATACCATGGCAGGATGTGGATGTCCCTGCCTGGCATGCCCAAAGCTTACATCTTGCTGAGGACGCCAACTCCACTCGCTGGCTCCGCTCTTTTGCTAAGACTTTTGAAGATTCCTTGGACGGCTACTGCAACAGCTTCCAAGATGGACGCTTGCCGCGTCGCAGCAAAGGCAGGGCTCGCAAAGCTGCACCAACTATGATCTCACCTACGGCACCAACTCTCCGTCCCAGCAGACAAGGGGAGGACTTGCCAGTCTCCTCATTCGTTGGAACTGCTGTTCGTCAGTGGTTCAAGCAACTTCGAAGGATTCTCAGCCTTCGCCACTCAATTCGGGCGGCCTCTCCTGCGGCCACCGCAGTTGTCTACAGACTGCAAACCTGGAAAGCAGTCCATGAAGCCCCTGGCTTTAGCAAGGGATTTTCTTCCTGGTGGACTCACCGATCGGTCCAACTACACGGCTCGCCCATGTCTATCACCCTTGCGGTGCCAGACGTGCTCACCATCGAGCTTATCTACCAGGATTTCCGCGCCAACTACAGGCGCTTCGAGGCCTGGCATCTTCGCCAGCGTGCTCGGGCCATTGACGTGCGGCTGAGCGAGAATTCAGGGCTCAATCTTCGCCTTCATCAGGGAAGACAAGCCAGCCTCTATTGACACCCTCACAGTTCGCCAGCACTACACAATTTTGGGTGTTGAACCATCCACCAATTTGGTTCATGTCGACAAGGAGGTCAACATATGCAGCTCTTCGACTTGGGATCTCGAAGGGCAACCAGCCAATGTATCGGCCCATGATGACTGTGTCCTACATGTCGACAGCGATTTTGTCCTGTACCCCAGCCAGACCCTCACTCAAACCGATTTTATCACTGAAACAAGTGATATCCATGATGCCTGCATTCACCTCTGGCAGTCTAGGTGGAACAAAAGTGCCGACCTTCCGGCTTCGGACCTCCAGCGCATTGCCGCTTTCACCCGGGCATTCATCCCATCCGGAAAGATGCCTTACACGCCGCTGACCACAACTCGCTGGAGAGCTGCTCTCCGGAAATACCGGCCCCATGCGGCCAAGGGCCCCGATGGCTTTTCCATTGGCGACCTCCTGCACTTACATCCTTGCCTTGAGGATCAACTCGTCAACTGGTTCAATAACCTTGAGTGTGGGGCCACTTCTTGGCCAGCTCAACTCCTCGAAGGCGTTGTGAGGTGCATTGGCAAAGGCGCCAACCCTCAGGGCCCCGACGACTACCGTCCCATCGTCATTTATAGCCTGCTCTATCGCACTTGGGCCGCCATCAGGGCCAAGGAAGTGCTTTCCCACCTTGTGCCTTTCTTCCAATGCCATGCGTATGGCTTTCTGCCGGGAACCACTCAGGTCGTATACGCCATTCAGGCACTCATCGAGCTAGCCTCACAGGCCGGCAGCAGTATGTGCGGATACTCCATCGACCTGCAGAAGTGCTTCAACAATTTGGCACGATCACCAGTCTGGTTTCTCGCGGAGCAGCGCCGGTTCATTGTTCGGTCAGCCCTCTCGGAGGGCATTCGCTCCAACAACGGATTTGCAGAAGGCTGCCCGCTTTCCATCATCGCCATGCTCCTGATAGATCTTTCCTATCATAGCTACCTCCAGCAGTTTGCCCCAGGCGCTGAGGCCTACTCCTTCGTTGACAACCTCTCCGTTGTCGCGGTCGAACCGAGTGCCCTTGTCCGGAGCTGGTGCACAGTCGAAGCATTCTGCGACCTCTTCCACTTGCCAATCGACATCAACAAGTCTTTTGCCTGGGCGGTCACTGCCCCGCACAGGAAAAGCCTTCAGCAGCTGCCTTTCCCTGTTGTACGCGAAGCACGGGATCTTGGAGGCACTATGAGCTATGGCAAGGTTCTTCGAAACGCTGGCCTTGTCGATAGATGTCGAGGGCTCGATCACACCTGGACCGCCCTGAAGCGAGCTCCCGGCCCACTTCTGCTACGAGCAACAGTCCTATGGCAGGCCCTCTGGCCGCGTGTCCTACATGGCATCAGTACCTGCCTGCTTGCATCTAGCCACCTGGCCAAGCTGCGAACTAGTGCAGTTCGCTCCCTCCGTATTCAACGAGCCGGAGCTAACCCTCTATTGAGAATTGCCTTTTCATGCAGCGATTCGATGGTCAGTTTTTCCCAGGCCCGTACTCCAAGCTGCTACAGGTCCTGGCCCCTCTGCGCTGGCAGGTCCTTCGGCCTCCCAACCTAGTTGATCATGACAACCAGGTCTTTGATCTACTGGCGTGCAGCAATGGGGAACTCGAGCACCGCCTCGAGGACGCTTGGCATCAGCATGTCGCAGAACAGGTCCAGGACCGGCCCACGTTTGCTGGCCTCCACGGCATCGATACAGCATGCAGTTATCACAAGCGGGCATCCCGCACACCACAGCAGGCCGCACAACTCGCAGCGCTACAGGATGGGTCTTTTCGTACCTCTGCCCAGCACGCAAAGTTTGACCTCGCCGCCAGCAGCCTCTGCGTTCGATGTGGTACCGTCAACGACTTTCGCCACCCGATAGTCAGCTGTGTTCTCGCCGATGAAGCTCGCCAGCCACACCAATGGGTTTGCGACCAGAGGGATACACTTCCGCAGTGTGTGCGAAACCACTTGCTTGTGCCTCGGAACCCCTTTGAGCTCAGCATCAAGAACGCTCTCCATGAACATGCTGACCTTACTACTGATTTTTTTGCTACACCTTGTGATGCAGGTCTACAACAGCTTTTCACCGACGGATCGTGCTTTCAACATCCTTGCAAACAGCTATCTCTAGCAGCTTGGGCAGTTACGCACGCCGGAAAACGGGTGACAATTGCAGCTGGACCTCTACAAGGTATTGTGCAATCCATCAGTCGAGCAGAAGCCACGGCTTGTTTAGCAGCAATTTTGTGGGGAGCGCACCATGATGTACCTATCTGCGTTTGGAGAGACTCGCGATATGTATCTGAGACCTTCTCCGGTATTGATGATATCGACCCCATCCACACCGAGAATTTTGACATTTGGGAACGCATTCAGGACGCACTTCGCACCAACCGCAACTCCACTGTTCTTGTCAACTGGATCCCGGCCCTTTTGATCCTCGGCGATGCGATTCGCCGTTTGAAGACTGGTTGGCGGTCGGCAACAGCGCTGCAGACAAAGCAGCGGTTTTTGCAAACAAAAGCAGGCCCACCTCTTTCCTCGACGCCTGGAACGAAGCGGACCGGTATTTCAAGCACTGGCGCAACGTTTGCGATGCCCTTGAGGCCATCTTTTCCAGCTTTTTGCAAGCCGCGCAGCAGCCAGAGCCAAATCCCAGTGATGACCCTGCTGCGGATGAGGTTCACAACCGCCCTGGTCAGAACTGGTTTTCACGAAACAGCACCTGGGCGGACGAGTTGCCACTGCACTGGCATCAAAACCTCGTCGAGAACCTCGGGTCGTACCCGCCGGACTTCCTCAGGAGCTTTGGAGAATGGTTCCTAGCTCTTGATTGCCAGAGTGATGATTGCACAGCGGTCAGCTGGCTCGAATTAACCATTTTTGCGGCCAAGTCATGTGTTGAATTCCCTGTACAGACTTCTGCAGGGCTTCAGGTGCCGCTGCACGCCTTCGCTAGGCCAACGGTCACAGTGCTGATGCACTATGTTAAGACCTTTGTGGGCACGCTTGTTCGCTCTTTTGGACTTGGTGATCGCCTTGCTTCTGGCATTGACCTTCTTTCTTTTGGTGTTCACCCACCCCAAAAGGGCGTTTTTCTCGGCTGCTGCCACGCTAGCCTCGTTGACATGCGACAAGGGCTGTCAACATTCACGTCCGCTCGGCCCGTAAGGGTTGCTGCTGACCTTGCAAGGCCTGTCTAGGCCGGAACAGACCGCCCACTGCACCGCACTGCCGTGCATGGGCGCGAGCGCAAGTCCGCGTAAGGGGGTCGCGAATTTTCTCGCAAAAGGTGGCAAAAAGGCCCCCTGGACTGGGGTTCATCAACATGTTCCGCTCTTTGAGCGCGATCATCAGCTGCTGAGCGGCTCTCGAATTGGGGGGATCTGTCAAAATGGGCATGTGGGAGTGTGGCGGCAACGCCCGACTCGTTTGGATGCTGGACGAAAGCTTATGAATACTGGTAGAGACACCACCTTGCATCCATAGTAGGCAATAGAGACTGTACCCTCCTGCGGATGAAGCTGGAATCCAAAGCACCATCATGTTTGGAGGAATCTTCTTTTGCGTTACCAATTCTTCGGACATAAGACAGGGGAGTATACACCTGGAAATCAGCCCCTACCTTCTTAGGAGCTTTGACTGTGGCAGGAAGTGTTTTGGCCTTGCAGAATCTTTACATGGGTTCTAAATAGCCCATAGAACAAACAGCTCCCGATACACCAACAGGCATCGGTTGTCTGATTTGTACACATAGATGCTGGTGCCAGGGCTGGCTCCCTGTCGATTTACGGGTATAGGTAGCCAAGGGTACCACCCTTCCAAAAGAAGGGCAACGGCTGGTTGCCCACTATGGAGGTACAGTGGATGCCCTAGACATTGCAAGCAAATCAACCACAAGCCATGGTTGAATTTACAGGGCAATAGCTGGTCTGCCGATTTTATAGCAAGACCACCGATTCGGCGGTGTAACGAGCAAAGGCCATGATAAAGGTGCTTTATTTGGATTCCTTTTGCAGCTTTTGAAATGATAGCAAGATTTACAGATCTGGTTACCAAGCAAATCAACCACAAAAACCATGGCTGAACTTACAGGGATTTCCCTTGTTCTCTTGCCACATTTTTGGGGCCTCCGCTTGTCGGCCTCACCAGCTGTAGCTGGGGCCCCGGGTTTTTTTCGCTGAGGCCATCAGCGCCTGTGAGAAGGGCGGTGAGTGGCTGCTGGCGCTGGAGCTGCTGACCCAGATGACGCTGGAAAGTGTGCAGAGGCGCGTGAAGCCGAACCGGCAGCTTTGCACACGCACACGTGGATGATGACTTGGCTGTGGTTGTCAAAACCGTTTTGGGATCCCATTTTGGGACAGGTGAATTCGCCACCCATTTTAGGCTTTATTTTAGTGGGGATTGGGACGTTCACTGGGGGTATCGGGTTTTGACCCATGGCCACTTGGGTTTTTCCTTAACTGACCTTGTGCACTGGGGCTTTCTGCTGTGATATTTATCCATCAGTCAATTGGAATGGGACAGATGACTTCCTTCTTGGCTCAGTTAAGACGTACATGTGGACGTGGAGGATTTGTGTTGATTATTCTCCGTCCCACTAACATGTTTTCCTCACAGCAGCTTCTTTTAAGAGGAAGCAGGTACCCTCCCACAGGTGCTATGTTTGTTAGAGAAGGGGTACATGTGATTTATGTGTCAGGCCCACTATGCTTATGGAGATAGTGGATGATCTGGAGGATGATTTGTGTTGATGACGTGTCCTGCCTGCTGATTGATGCAGCTGGACGCCTTGTGCACTTGTGAGCCCGCAGCGCATTTGAGCAGTGTGCTGTTTGTTGTGCGCACCGAGCGAAGCAAGACGTCGGCGCTTGCGCCCTGCGTGGTAGGGCGCCCTCGCGATGTCAATGTCCCGCGATCGATATCCAGCACACGCAGTGCATCGCCGTTGGCGACCCTGATCAACTCTTTGTAGGCAGGTGCACTTTCTCGAAGATCACGCAGCCCCGAGGAAAGAGAGTGCAGCATCAGGGCAGGGAGGTGTCAAAGCGTAGGTACGCAAACGTCGCCCAAAACTACATCTGCAAAGTTGCGAGCAAAGGTCTTGGTCGCAGTCCTTTTCTCCACTGGAGAAATGGGATAGGACGCCATTTTGAACCCTTGATTTGCTAGGGGTCCTGGCCTGGTTCACATAGGAACCTGACTGCAGGTCCCTGGACCACAATTTTCCGCTCACAAACAACCCTCTGGTGGTTCCATGTGCGCGCCTTTTTCGCGGTCGATTCAGCCCTCCGCATCCATTGCTCCACAACAATTCACCACTCCTGAGTGTTAGGTTCCTGCGGAAGCAACCTGCTTGCCTCTCTCCTTTGCATAACATCACTGTTAAACTCCGCGCCCCGGCGCAGGACCTGAGGAAGCCCGGCAAAATGGATCGCGGGTCCCGGGGGGGAATCAGCTGACGGCTATGGCATGTCTTGTGAAGAAACTTCGTTGGGGGCCGGGGGGGCGGTTGTGCACCAAACACCCACCGCCAGGAACACGGTGACCTACTGTGCCGCCATAAGTGCCTGCGAGAAGGCTTGGCCCGGGACATGAACTAAAGGAATTTCCAACTGGGGGGCGGCTCGTCTTTCTTGGGATTCGGTGCCCCAAAATGGCGCAAGGGTGTTCGACAACAACAACAGGGTAGCCTCAAAGCAAAGACACCCCCGATTTTTTGTGAAGGTGGGCAAAACCCCGCCAGTTGGTTGGGTCCTAAAGAGCAACACCCCTCAGTCGTGGTTTTCCTTTTTTTTCTTCTACCCCTTGGGCTTCCCGTTTTGGTCTAAGGCGAAAAAAGTCCGTCCCGATTCCGTTTCCCAGCTTTTTTCACCCTTTGGACACAGCTGGCGCGTTTCCCTTCTTGTCTCAAATGTATGGAGGCCGTGACGTCTACTTTCACTCAACTGCAACTCACCTTACCCCCAATTGGTGTTTTGGTTTTGGTGGTTTGGACGTTCTGGGGTACCTTTTCCATTTTATTTTTATTTTTTTTAAAACCTGGTTGGTATAAATCCAACTCCAACCCCCCGGGCTCCAAACCAATTCGGGGAAGCTGAGTAGACTGGGATCGACGACGAGGCGGCACAGTGGGCAGCGGCGCTGCAGCTCTTCTGGGAGATGCCTCAGCGAGGACGCCAGAGCTGCGATTGGTTCCCCTCCAAAAAGCTGAGGGAAAGAGCGTCTCCTTTTCTTGAGGCTAGCTCCTGTTTTGGTTTCAAAGAAAAAAACCCTTTGAGCCAAATGGACAACTCCGGGAGGTCGAAGGAGGGGTTTCTACACGTCGGCTTGGGGCGGTGAAGCTTTCTCCGGGGCCATTTCTCCGTGGCCGGAGTGCCGTTTCAGCACTTCGGACTTCTCGGACTTCGGACTCGGGGCTTGGATTTTTAAGTGGGAAGTCGAAAGTTGGGTTTTCCATTCAGCCCTTTAACCCACCACTTGGGGGGTGACTTTGATCATGGTAAGATACTGAGGCCAGGGACTGGCGTCATTTTGACTGATCCACTGGAATCAACGTCAGAACATGCTTATTTGTGTCCCCTTAACCCACTTTGATCGTGGTGAAACAAGGAGGCCAGAGGGAGCTGAGTATCTCTCCGCGCCCGTTTTCAATGCTGATGACGAGAGCTGACTCGCAAGAGTTAGGACCCGAGTCAAGTCGCTAAAAGCGGCATTGGGCTTGGCTCCTTTGGCGAGTTGAAGCAGAGAATGGGTATTTTAAAGTAGGGGGCCTTTAAACATGGTGGTTCCCAGCCATTTGCTTCGGTGTTTAGTTTGACAAGTGTTCAACTTCTAGCAGATCGGAAAACGGACAGCCCAGGTCAACCATGGATGGTTTCCCTCTGGTAGCCTACCCATCCTCAAACGAGGCACCCTCAACACCCCATACTGTGGACGGACAAAATCCATTTCGCACCCTGTAAGAGACCCCGGAAGGATTCGATTCCCCCGTAGATACCAACAAACAGTGGATCCCACGGTTTCTTCGGTGGCGCGAACGGATTTTGTCCCTCACCCGTGTGAACCATGGCTTGCCAAATCGTTTGCAGGAGTCCAGCGGGCCGGCGGCTCAGTCGGGAGCCGGATTTTTTCCGCGTCAGTCTCATCCGTGATTCATCCCCAGATGGGTATGGATCAAATTTTGAAGCACCTCACCTCAGGTTGTCCATGTTTCCACTTCTGGGGGCCGCCCATTTTGGGGTTTCCCGATTTTTCACCAGCCAGATGTGCATTCCGAAGCATCGAGTACCATGACTCCAGGAACAAAATGCTGCAATCAAGACAGCTTCGGAGTTGGTAGATTTTTCAGAGATGATTCAGGATCCTGGAAGAAAGGAATCCCCTCTCACAAGGATAACGCTTTAGCTTGCAATAGCTGGGGGCTTATCAATCAAAAGTCGATCCTGGGCTTCCACCCAGCTCCAGCTAGACCGAGTCCAGCTTGTGCTTACCCCAAATGGCTGTAGCTCAAAAAATGGTACACAAGGCAGCCTCATAAATGGAAACAAAGACGAACACCTGCTTAACCCTAGCTCTAAGATTTTGAGCCACACCCAAATGACAAGAGAGCAAGAGACCCAAGAACATCCATGATCATTCACCGGCGGTTTCAACTTTTTGGACTGACTACGGATCTCGCAGGATGCTTTTTTTGCTCTGGACCTCAGGGTGTATTGCAAGCCCAAGGTTCATGAACCAAACGTTTATTAGAATTTGTGGTGTCCCTTAGCAGTGGGGATTCAGACCACTTTTGCGGGTGACATTCCTATTACTACTGCGTTAACATTAATACAAGCAACCTTGCGCACCTTCATATTTACTGGCTCACGCAAAGCAAGTCCATTTTTTGATGGCCTTGCAGCTTCCCAAGTTTGGCAGGCCCTGAAACCGCCATTTCCGGGTCCAGTTGGATTCCACGTGGCTACCTCAAGCCGAGGGGTCCTGTTAATGGGAACGTCCGGCTGTGGATGGACCTCAAATCCTGCGGCTGGAATGATGATTCCCCAACGAACACTGGGTTTCCACCGTGGTTTCAAGGCGACTGATTTCGTCCATCCACAGATACGGTTGTCCTCTGGGAAGGTGCGGCGAGGTTTCGGTCTGGCGGGGTGTTGTGCGGGTGTCCAACTTGGCAATTTTGTTCCTCCCGGTCCCCGCCATCGCGGGCCGCTTGCCAAAATCCCGATCAAATGGGTTTGCCTCTGCCTTTACGGGGCCGCTACAAAATGGCAAGGGGGTTTTCCCCTTGAAACAGCCACCAAGTAGGTACCCTGCAACCAACATGGGTGTTTCCTTAGGGTGGCAGTTCTTAAAGGGACACCAAGTGGAAAACCCGCCATGGAAGTTCTCGCCTTAGAACCGGCAGCTTTTACTGGGAAGCCAGGGAAAACCCACCTGGCGTGGGTCTCTACCAAAAAAAAACGACCCCTAAATGGGCATGGGTCAAAATGAAACCAGAGGACCGCTTCGGCTTTAGTCCATGTTTCCATTTACCAGGGCAACCCAGTTTGGGTACCTACTGTCGATGGACGAAATCCATTTCGCACCACTTTGAAACCATGGTTGAAACCATTGTTCATTGCTATTTACAGGGGAATCAAATCATTCCAGGATTGCTGAAAGGTGGTCCGAAATTTTGATTTCGCAACCATCCACGGTATTTATTGACCGACGGACCTTTTTGGTTGTAGTCCATGTTTCCCATTTACCAGGGCAAGCCATTTTGGGGTTTCTCTATGTTTGACCCACCGCCAACCAGGGTTCCACTTTTTGAGTGCCCCAAGGTAGACTGAAACCCAGGGGTTTTCCTTTTAGGGAAACCAGCCATCCCTGGGTTGAACTCAAAGTGGAACCCCGCAGCCACATATCCATCGGATCGATTCGAACGCGACTTACCCGCATGAATAAACCCCTGGTTGATTAATAGGGGGGTGTCCCCTTGTAGTGGGGATTCAGACCACTTGTGGAGGGAACACCCCCCCCACTAGATCCTGGGTCAACCTTATCGGGTTTCCCCCCGCAGAACTTCGATCCATCGAAGCGAATTCGCAAAAAAGAAAAAAGCAACAACGAAAAAAGCAACAAAAAACAACAACAAAGGCAAAAAACAAAGCAAACAACGCAAAGCCGAGGACGAGATCAGCTTCAGCGCGGCGATCAGCGCGTGCGAGAAGAGTGGGCAATGGGAGAGTGCCCTCGCCTGGTGATTGGCAGGTTTTCGGGTTTTTTGGGTTTCTAGTCTTTTTTGTTGGTTTCTTGTTTTTGGGTTTCACTGTTGTCGGATCATGTTTCTAGTTAGATCAGGTTTTTAGGTTTCACTGTTGTTGGATCCTGTTTTTAGGTTTGTAGCTTCTGTTTGGTGTTCTGTTCATTTTTTGGTGGGCTGCAACAGACAGTGTGTGTTTGTGCAAGCCCATATCAAGGGTTGTAAAGGTGCTGTGGCGCTTCTGCACACCATGTCCCAGGCCTTGCCGCGACACGCGACATTCGATGGCGTGTCGACGGTTTTTTGTTACCCCTCTTTCGAAAACCTTTGAAATCAAGTACCAAGAAAGAGCCCGGGACTTTAGGCATGGCCACTGCACACTGGTTTGGGTTTTAACAATCCCACCCCCAAGAGATTGGGCTTTGGACAAAGTCGTATTTAATTTAGGGTGCCTTTAAGCATGGAGACCTCCTTCAAACAGAAGTTCTCTTGGAACTATGTCCACGAAACCTGTCAATTCAAATCACCTCAAAACAATACACCTCTCCCTTCTGAGGTCGGGAACCCGTGAGCTTCGTCTGGTGGCTATTGGTCTTTTGAACTGATCACTCGCAAAGGTCCTGGAAAGTGAGTGGGACGACCATAGAACACACACGTGTGTTTGTGTCTGTGTGTCTGTGTGTCTGTGTGTCTGTTTGTCTGTGTGTCTGTGTGTCTGTGTGTCTGTGTGTCTGTGTGTCTGTGTGTCTGTGTGTCTGTGTGTCTGTGTGTCTGTGTGTCTGTGTGTCTGTGTGTCTGCGTGTCTGCGTGTCTGCGTGTCTGCGTGTCTGCGTGTCTGCGTGTCTGCGTGTCTGCGTGTCTGCGTGTCTGCGTGTCTGCGTGTCTGTGTGTCTGCGGCAGCGTCTGCGTCTGCGTCTGTGTCTGTGTCGTTGTGTCTGTGTGTCTGTGTTTTTCAGTGTATGCTTTTGAGGTTGTTTTTCAGGGACACCAGAACGCCGCCGCCCAGTTTTGGGGATTCCCAATTTTTTGACGCACATCTACATGCCCGTGTTTGTTTTTTCCCTGTATGCCGAAGCCGGACCCTAGAAGTGTGAAACCATGTGTGTGTGTGTGTGTGTGTGTGTGTGTGTGTGAAGCGTCCTGGAGCACGGACGGAAATTCCACATTGCAGGGGGACTGGAGCCGATTTGCCTATCCAGTCCAATGAAGCTACGGCATTTCGGTGGATACCGGATCTGATCAATCCGGCGTACCTGCCTATTTCCTGACCCTCTTTCCTGATTCCTTTTGCGGTTTCTGTTTGTCGCTGTTGCTTCCTGTTCGGTGTCGATGTTGTGACCTGTTGATTTGCATTTGCATTCAAGCATTTTTACTGACTGCGTTTTTCATCTCGGCTAGTGAAGCCTCTCGAGATAAGTGTGTTTACCCACGGCCTGTCCGACATGGCGCTGTGGGCTGGACTCGCCATATGCGGGAGCCCCCTGCGAGGGGAAGACCGTTCAAGTGTTCAAGTTCAAGCTGCAGTTCAGTTCAGCGCGTTTGACCACGATCAAGGCTGCAGCTTGAGGTCTTAAGGTATTCCGCACCCAAATGGTGCTCTGCTGGTTTCATGCGCGTTGCACTGCCTGCACTGCCTGCCTTTGAAGCAAGGCTGCACCCACGAGGTTTCAGGTTCCTAAGCTTCATGCGCCAGTGACGAGTTGGTCATACACCAACTCTGCAATTCGTGGCGTTTATGGAAGCTTTCGTCTCGGATGAGTTCAGTTCAGATTCATCGGCATAGCCACATGAGGCACTTTCATGAGGCCACTTGACAGGCACCTCTGAGAACCCCTTTGTGCTCGCATGCATTTCTGTGGAAACTTTTGCCGTTGCCGCGGGGTTTTGGCGGTCCCCTGGTGGAATTCCCTCTGTTTGGTTTCGATTCGCAGGTTGAAGTTGGCTCGCATGCATTTGCACCATTGACGCATTTTTGCCGCAGTTGTGGTTTTGTTTTCACCCCTTTCCAACCTTCTCTCTCCCTTGCGAGATGGCTGGACACCAGCTCTATGACATGATGCATTCGCTCCTGCATAGCATTGCGACCGGCACCGCGTCCGGCTCACCAGGCAATTGTGGACCGAACTTGCAGCTGTCATCCCAGATGACGCAGCCCATGAACCTTGTACCGTCACCCAACTCGCAGACGGCATCCTTCACACCTTTCCCCATGATGCCCTACGGCGGCCTCTCGAACTTTGGCAACCCGATGGCCATGATGCCCTACGGTGGCCCTCCCAATTACGGCAACTTGGCACCTGGCACCATCATGCCTTTCATGACTCAGAGCGGCATGCCATCTTCACTGCCCGAGCCTCAGCCGGCGCGCGCGCCCGAAGCTGCCGCTGCGGCTCCTGCCGCTACCTCCTCAACCAACCACCCTCCCCCGGACACTCCTGCCGCTACCTCCTCAACCAACCACCCTCCCCCGGACACTCGGCACCATCTCGCAGATCCCGTTCCCGCCACAGACAGCACCGACACTCCCACTCCCACACCAGCCACCATCGCAGGCACAACAAGTCGCACCGACGACACGACACCCGACGATCCCGCAGCTACAGCAGGTCACGTTCCCTTTCCCGACACTTCCACCACTCCCGACGTGCACACCACTCCACTGTCTCCCTCCGCTCCCGCTCCCCCCGACACAGGTCCCACCATCGACACTCCCCTGCACCCAGTGCCACGACTTCGCACCGACCCACTCACACTACTCATGATTCCACCTCCTGGCGCACTTCCGGGAAGGACTCCTGGCGCACTTCCGGGAAGGATTCCAACAAGTCTCAATGGTCCTCCTCACACTGGCGGAACCAATCGTGGGGATACCCACCACAGAACAAAAACCGCTGGGACATGCACCACCATGGCGCCAGCCACACCGGCCACCGAAACAACCAGGACAAACGATCGTCCTGGTCACTGCAGCACCATGGGCAGCAACCCCACCCCACTTCCCGCACCGGCCACCACAACACTAGCTTGCCCCCTCACCCAGCACCTGCGGCGGCCTTCACTTCCACTCCCCCTCCCCCTCCCCGACCCACGCCGGCTACTCCTCACCCTCCCCAACCCCCCTTCGACAACACCGGTGATTTGGATCCCCCTCCATCGGAGGCGGACATCAATGCCACCACCACTTCCGACAACCGGTGGCTTGATCTATGGAGAAACGTCATGGACACGGCCAAGACTGACCCGCTGCGAGTTCCCACGCCTAGGGAGTTGGGGGAGCTGGACCCGCTTCCAGCCTTGGACATCTCCAGGGTGGAACAGACTAAGGCCATTTTGATGGACCTGGACCCTGCTTTGCCACCTTCACATGCCGATCTCCTCGCGGAATGCTGGGAACTGCGAACCATGGACACGGATGATCCCATACCGTTCGATCCCAGCTTCTACCACCTCTTGGGACGGGAATCACACGGCATGGTGTTCGCAACCACTTGGTTTCCCCGACCTCATCCTTGGCCAGTTGCTGGCGGAGACCCGGAAGCTGGATCCGGCACGGCCTCCCATCACGCTGTCATGTATGTGCACGGCACCACCCCGGATCGAGTGCGCCGCATGTGCCATGAGAACATGATCCGACCCGCTGCTTGGAGGCCCGAGAACCATGACTACCCGAGCTTTGGATGCTACGCTCAGGCCACCCCCACGGCATGCACGCCCGACACGCTCGGCCAGCTCTTGCAGAACTTTACAATCGGAAAGTCTCAACTCGGCGCCATCGCTTTTGGGGAACTACGCTCCATCAATCAGCACAAAATCCTCGAATCCGGGGGAAGCCACGAGGATCAACACAACGTGCGGCGCCACTTCGCATGCCGCCGAGGCAAAAAGTGGTGCCTTCACTCCAAGTTTGCGATGCTGAGAGGCATCGCGCTGCAGCGCCCGGCTTAGCGGGGCGCAAGTGTACCATCTTCCACCCAACCAGGAAAAGAATTGGTGCACTGTTTGATCGCCTTTTTTCTTTGCTTTGCTGTTCTGCCTTTCCGCGACCGTTCTCTCACCTTGTGACCTTACCCGCTTGATTCCGCTCACCAGCTTTTGGTTCGAACATTTCCTTTTCCCCCGTGTTTTCTCATGGCTTTCCAACCCCCTCGAGGTTTGGTTACGGCGCTCCAAAGGCAAAACTTACCACCGCAGCCTTCGCCCACGGCATCCCATCATCATGGCATCGTGTACGGCAACAACATGGCCGGGAACCCGTGCGGGGCCCTGTCCGGGCCTTCCTACGGATGCTCTTCCACGGCATCGGCACCGCCAGCTACACATCCGACTCCCTGTCAGACCTACGGCCAACCTATTCCCCGTTACCCACCACACCCCGGCCCTCGTCCACCCTCCTTTGGCGGCTCTCTCCCCCCCCCTCCCGGCGGCAACCCCTTTCCCCCCCCTCCCCCCGGCCCCTTCTCCCGCCCTCCCCCTTCCCCCTCCCCCTCCACCGCCTCGCAATCCAAACCTCCCCCGGCCCTTCGACCCATCCACTCAGTCCCAACACCAACCGAGTTCAACCCTGGCGACGATCACTACGACACCACCCGCGTCGCGGGGTACGACCTGCCCAAGGTCATAACGCACACCGCGTTTACTCGGCAAATGGGCATCGAGGGACAAGACATCGCTCGCGTCCCCCTCCTCCACTTCATGCACGAACAGTGGAACAGTTGGTGGTTGCGTCACCTCGCCCACGGAGGCGAAGTCCGCATCGTTGTCGCAAAGTCGATGCCGGAATCAGTGTTTGCTGCTGGACTACTCAGCCAAATCCGACAACGGCACCTCGACCTGGACGCCCTCGCCCTCCATGTAGCCACGCAGGAGGGCGCCTCGACCACCAAACCAGCAGCCATGAAGCTACTCACCAGCAAGATCTTCGACTTCCTCATCTCCCTCCGACCCACCACTACGGCCGATCCGGCCTCCGCGGCCACCATACTCCAGCTTCAGCAACAGCTTGCTGACGCACACAACCAACTCGCCCAGCAGGCTTCATCCCCCCCTCTCCCCCCCACACCCACCTCATCCAACAAACGCCCAGCCGATCCATCTCAGGCCTCCCTCCTGGACTTCGGCATGAAGCGACCACGGTTGACTACACCTGACACATCACCGCAGGACGGATCCCCCGCCCTACCCCTGCCCACTCGCATTGCAGACGACTCCCAACCCCCCCCGGCTCCCCCCACCCACGGCGGCAACCCTCCAGCCCCCTCCACCCACGGCGGCACCCCGACCCCTCCCCCCCTCCCCTCCCCACCCACTTGGAAGGAGCCCCGCGACTTGCTCCAACCACCTCCCCACGTTTGCCAATGGCTCACCAGCAACTTCCCACCCGACATTTCCGACACCAAAGTCCAGCGATGGATCACCTCTCAGAAAACCAGCAAAGAGAGCAAGCAAGTCCTAAAAAGCTGGTCCAACGACTGCGCAAAATGGGCAACCACACTGGACTCCGACACCAGAGCCCAACTCGAACGAGCCGCTGTGCTATGGGGCATCCCGGTGCGAACCCTATCAAAACTGGGGTCATCGGCCTTGGGCCGCATCCTGGCCGCTGCGAGTCACTTCTACCAGTGACTCTCAACAGCACACCGACAACGACGCACAGCCAGGCAGCACAAATTTTGGCAACACCACTGCTGCCAACTTCTCACTGTCCTCCGTTTCACTCTTCGGTTCTTCCCAACCGATGACGTCACCGCACGTCATTCTTGCTCCTGGCTACTCGCACAGCTTCAGCTACTTGACGTCTGCCATCTCTCCTGTGGTTCCGGCAGACTGAAAGCCCTGCTTACTCGACTTGGCCTGGACAACCCTGCTTCCGATTTCTCTTCTCAGCTTGTCCCTTCAGCGGTTTATCTGAGATTCACCAGCCATCCAAAGTGGCAGGCCTTTTTCTACCTCGGAGCCACTCGCGCCTCCCTCATGGCACGGGGCCGCAGCCAACTTCGCAAACTACTCCAAGTTCAGCGACATCATCTGGTCAATGCCGAACTGGCAGTCCGGTGGTGGGCACATTTGACTTTTTCCACCACTACACCTCGGTGCCCATTCACACTGTCGTTCCGGCAACGGACCTATTTGCCACTGAACAGTTCTACATCCAGGAACTGCAACCGTCTCTCAATTTTGGCTTCATCGAGAAACATTTCCGGCCACGCACGGGCTTCATACGCCAATTGGACTTCTCCCAATCCCGGCACATGGGCTTCGCCACCATCTGGCGAAAACGCCGCCGACTACGACTACCCATCGCCCTACAACAGGCCTTCCTGGCCAAACGCGTGGACAACCGCCTGGATTTGTGGCGATTTTTGGGCGATCTTGGCAGCAACACTCTACGACGATTTGATGCCATCCGTTACATACGGAGCAGAGACTTCCCACCCGCCGCTCTCTATGTCCTTCATCGCATAGCCACACACCTGCCTGAACCACACCACCAGGCATGTCTTTCCGCCATTCGATCCAGTTTACGATTCCGGGGCCTCATTCCACCTGGCCCCTCCAGACCGATGCTTGCACCCTTCCTCGCCTGGCGACTACTGCTAACCTGGTACCGACAACGACAACCACACTCCTCTACCACACACCTCACAGTGGACACACTTGACACCTCTGCCATCACCCGCGTCTACAACGGACGCCGTCGCCGACACAAACCCACACAACGCACCCTGTGGCTCGACGACATCCCCGAGATCATTCAGGCCACCCTTGACATGCAGATCTTCTCTGTCGGCCTTCGTTCATTCAGGCAAACACGTGGGGCACCGATGGGATCCCCCGCGTCCCCAGCTCTCTGTTTGATGGTGATCGCGGTCGCCGAACAATGTTGGACCAACACTCACATCACATCGGGACTTCGCTCCGTTGAAGATACTCTCCTACTCCGCTACGTGGACAACAGACTCGTGATCGCAACCCCCAGGTGGCTCTCGACTCCGGCAGCCAACATACTGTGCGACGAACACTTCTATGGAGGAGACATCTTCCTGGACACAGAAGCCGCCCTGGACTTCTTGGGGTTCCGACTGAACCTCACAAGCAGCACCATCTCCTTCATCCCCTCGCATGAGAAGCACAACATGCTCTCCGTCAAGTCAGCCGCACCACTGATGCATAAGGAATCTGGATGTTATTCCGGACGCACGCTGATCAACCGAGTTTCCTTTCCTGAGTTTCAGCGAGGTCAGGGTCTTGCAATGTTGAAGAGGTTGCACCTCCAACACGGTTTCACCTTACAAAGAGAAGAAAAACCGTCCTTTGCGGAACCACACTGGTTTTCTTCTCTGCCTTTGCATCCTGACAGATTTGACCTGATTTTCGCGCCGCAGCTGTTTGACTGTTTGACCAAAATCCGTTACGAGCATGGATACCAACACAGCACGCCAGCTGCTCCAAGACTTCGAACTCATCCTTGGCATTGCCCAACAAGGCATCGCCACCATCCGCGAGTTCCCTGAGAGTCCGCCTGCCGAACCTGATTTGGCACCGGAGGCCACGCTCAACCCCGCCATTGAGGACCTCTTTGAGCCACCTCCTGATGCTCCAGATGAACACCTTCCCACTGATCATGACGAACAATTCCCTGATCATTGGGCTCCGCCCACCCCTCCTCCGTCTTCTCCCGGCGAAAAACGAGCTCGCCGCGCACGTGATTTGGCCTCCTCACGATCTACGGCATCCAAAACCTGCTCGTGGACCAAGCGAAGCTACCACATCGACCAGGACTGATGCCTCTACTGAGGCCGAACCTGAAGCCTCGCAGCCTTGGACTGAGGGAGAGATTGAACTCCTCCGTTCCCTTAAGACCAATTCCAAAGCCAAGTATGTGTGGTCAGTCATCGCCACAAGACTTTCTCGCACAATTGATGCTTGCAAGACTCAATGGGCCTTGCACAAGTGATGTCGCCCCAGTTGGGGCTCCGTGTGTGTGAAGCGTCCTGGAGCACGGACGGAAATTCCACATTGCAGGGGGACTGGAGCCGATTTGCCTATCCAGTCCAATGAAGCTACGGCATTTCGGTGGATACCGGATCTGATCAATCCGGCGTACCTGCCTATTTCCTGACCCTCTTTCCTGATTCCTTTTGCGGTTTCTGTTTGTCGCTGTTGCTTCCTGTTCGGTGTCGATGTTGTGACCTGTTGATTTGCGTTTGCATTCAAGCATTTTTACTGACTGCGTTTTTCATCTCGGCTAGTGAAGCCTCTCGAGATAAGTGTGTGTGTGTTTTAGCCGAAGGGTGCTCTCCTTTTCCAGGTTGGCTTGGGGGGTCCAAATCCCATCACCCGTACACCCAGATATACACATGGTTGCATGGGATGGGGAACACCCACCCATTTTGGGGTAGCCCTATTTTCAGACACACCCATTTGGGCGTGTAACAGCCGGTTGTCCGATAAATAAAGATAAAATCAGACCATGGCGGTCCTTCAGTCCATCAGGTGGTTTTCTACGCCCAAAGTTGTATCCCTTTTGGGGCACCTGTTCTGTTCCCGGATTCCGGGGCATTAAAAGGGTGCCCTAAAACGAAATACAACTAGGGGTTTGGACCCTGAAATGGTGTTCCTTTTGGTGTCCCAAAACCAACTAAACGAACCCCAAAATTTGCCAGTTCCCTGTCACCTGACCTCAAAAGGATTCACTCCACACCAATGAGCCAGCCCGGGTCATCGGGCCAACCCTTGAGGGCGCTCTTGAATGGCCACAGGGTCCATTTTGGACCAGCTGAAACCGAAATGGGCCGATGGTTGGATGTGGAAAACAGGATCCACCCACCTGTTTGGGGCCCTATTTAGTAAGGGAGAGTCATTTTTTTTAGGGAAGGCCGCCTTTTTGCTTCTTTACATGGCTTTGGGTGCGCCATTTTGAGACCAGGTTTTGATTATGACTCACTTGGCTTCCCTGGTTGCCCCACTTTATAAGGTGTTTTTCCCCGTTTGGGAGAGGGGTACGACCATCAGCAAGCATTTGGTCATCTTGCCAAAGGGTATGCGAAAAGGAGTATGTATAACCACCCCCAGTGTGCTGGTTCTTGTTCGAGGCATACACATGTGCTTGCGGTGCGCTTTCTCGACGCCTGGCTCCCTTCCAGTGATTCACCCCCCTCCGGAATCCCATTTAGGGGGCAGGTACAAGGGTGAGTAGTTGAGAGCCCGTTTTGCGTTCCTTAGGGTTCCCAGGAGTTTTTCAGGGTTCTTCATGGGTTTTCTTCTCCCTAGGGTTTTGTAGGGTTCTTCAGGGTTCCTCAGGATTCTGCAGGGCTTTTCAGGGTTCTTTGTAGGCTTCCTCAAATTTCCCCTATTATTTCTTGCAGGAGTTTGCTCACCGCTTCCTCAGGGTTCTTCGGCCTTTGTCTAGATTTGGTTTCCCCCCGGACCACGAAGGATTCTCCCGGCAGGTGATGCCGGTGAGCACCGTGGCCGCCAGCGCCGCAGTCACCGCGTGCGAGGGCCAGTCCCAGTGGCAGGCGGCGCTGCTCCTCTTCTCAGGCGGAGCGGTGCCGGCGCGAGCTCCAAGAGTGGTGTTGCTTTGTTTGGAGGCACCGAGGGATTTTTGTGGGTTTTAGAAAAAACAAATTTCTATTTTTGTTTTTGGGGGGAGCCTTGAGTTTTTGCGGTTTTAAAGGGGCGCCCCTAGCAAGTTTGTTGCTTGTTTGGAGGCGCCATGCGATTTTTGTGGGTTTTAGAAACCAAAGCTGATTTTGGGAACCTTGAGTTGCTTGTGGTTTTAAAGGGACACCTCTAAGAGGGGTTTTAGGGAACCTTGATTCTGGGGGGGGTGGGGCGGTTGGGTGGGCGGGTGGCTTTGTTGCGAAAAAAAGCGTTTGGGGGTGTACCCCATTTCTGTGGTTTTAAAAGGACAAGGGACACGGGGTCCCCCAAACAAGAGACGGTCTGGACGTTGCCCGAAACAGACTGGTGGAAACAGACACGGCAACTTGCTTCGGCCCTGACAGGGGGAATTCAAGGATTCAATGTGCATCTTGTTCAAGAAGCCACATCCAAGCTCGCAAACATCATCGGATTATGTTTGCGCGAACTCGATGCTGCCGAGGCGCCAAAGTGGAACATTAGGATGGTCATCAAGCAAAAACACTGGGAAAACAACTGTTTTCCACCAGAAACTTGTTATTCAGTGGATTGAACACGTCACAAAACACTGCTGGGGCTCATTTAACATGGGCGGGACTCGCGAAACACGGCAAACAACAGTGAAGATGCAAGTCTCCCACAAGTTGACAACGTGAGAGTCGTCTATTTTGTGGCATGTTTCATGAAGACCATCACCAACAAAGCAGGCAGCCACACCAAAAAACAATCGGAAGTGATGCCAGACAAGGCAGGGGCCAAGGCCTGCGAAGTCACAAGGAAACTGCCCCGGAGTCAGGACAGTGGACGCGTGACTGCGTCACCAAACAGGGAGTTTAAGCGTAACATTTGCAGCACAGGATGAGCCGCGAACAAAGACAACACGCCTGCCAAGCGACAGAGGAGCACAAGACCGAAGGCAAAAACCCCCCCCCCACCCCCCCAAAACAGCAGAAAGGTTGGTAGGGTATTTCAAGGTTAGGGCTTCAGGGTCCAGGGATGATTTTCAACAAGGCATCAATTTCGTTCAAAACCTAAGTATTGGTTCTGAGGAATTTTACAATAATTGTTGAACATGGTTTTTCATTTGAAAGGGTCTAAGATATTGACCGTTTCAGTGTCTTTGTTAGAGCTTATGGAAAGGATAGTTCATTGGTTTGTGAGTGGCTTTTTCATGAGTGTGATGGTTGCATGTGGGTATTTCAGCCAGCGTCAACATTGCTTGGGATGCGATGTTGTTGAAAACAGGAGTTGAACTTGAACTTTTACACGATGAAGAACTTTATAATATGGTTGAGAAGGGACTTCGGGGCGGTATGTGTCAGGTGTCAATGAGAAAATCAATTGCTAATAATAAGTATATGGGAGATGCTTATGATGAAACAAAGCCGTCATCCTACATCAATTATTTAGATGCTAATAACCTTTATGGATTAGCAATGTGTAAAAAACTACCTTATAAGAATGTTGAATTTGCCCATCAACGAATCGATCTGTCTATCTATTTACCAAATGGTCCGATCTATCTGTCTCTCTATCTATCGAACGATCGATCTATCTAGTCTTATATTTCTTTCTACCTACACGCACATCTGCCTGTCCATCCATCCATCTATCTCTCTAATTCACCAACAATCTAACTATCTAACTCTTGGAAACCATGGCAAACCATTGTTTCTTGACATTTCTTGCATCCCATCTATCCTATCTTTCTTATTTATCCTAGCAATCGTATCTGTCTTCCTCTCTCTCCTATTTATCTATCCGATCTATCCTATCCTATCCTATACTATCCTATCCTATCCCATTCTTTATCACATCCTATCCTGTCCTATCTATTTATCCATCCATCTATCTATCCAGGCCCCGATTTGTGAAATGGCGCGAACCCCTGACCCAGGCCAGGTCGTAGGTTGTGAAGGCAGGTAGGACAGGCCCTGTCACTTGACAGCTTTGACATGTGTCTATGGGGCAAGAAGGTTTCAAGTTCCTCTTCATCGGTGGTTTGGATTTGTGGCTTGGGGATTTGATACCGGGCGCCAGACTACCCTTTCTCAAGAGTGTGTCAGGTACGCCTGAATTTGGTGCTTTGGGTTGGCTTGATTGGGAAGGTACCCCCCATCCAAACCACCAGCCAAACCACCCATTCGTCTAGGGGTTGATTCCCCATTCTTTTCAAGCATCGTTCTCTTTGAAAGCCGAATTTCAGGAAAGAATGGGGAAAGGTACCCCTAGAAAGAAGGGACCCTGGAAATCATTTTGTCGAAAATGAGGACAGCCCCACGCAAAAATCGGTGTCAAGTCGGGGTAAGGTGAGTGGAACGAGACCGCAGGCACCAAGGTGGACCAGATCCTGGCGAACGCGGCCATCTCTGCAGCGGAGAAGGGCAGCCAATGGCAAGTGGCTCCTTGCCCGATGCTGGGAGGAGAACGCTGGGGGCCGTTTGTCTGGTGGATTCAAAGGCAAACCACGGACAGCGTTTTTGTTGGTTTTGTCAGGCAAATCAAAAGGAGTTTTTTCTGGCTTGTGCAATAGGTAGGGAATGACTCTTGCGCAACTGGAAGGGGATTAGGTCATTCCCTCATTCCCTGCTGAGAACCAGCAAGTTTGCTTGGTTCCTTTAACAACATAAAAGGACGGTTTTTTCTTGATTTCTGGGGAGGGGCGGGGTATTTTGGCACAGAAGCAACTGGGGCAAACTATTCACCGGCTAAGGTGAACATGGGCCTCATGAAGGTCGTTTAGGTTCCCTCAGAGTTTCCGGCAATTTCCAGCATGGGGATTAGAGTAGCTTGTGATGGTTTCTATCAGGGTTGGATTGTGAGTGTACTTCCCCGCAAATGAACATGCAACCCCAAATGCTCAAACCCTGTACCCCTACTAAACATCAAAATAGGTGGCAAAGGGATGTTCATACACAAAAAGGAGCCGTAGGTTATGCCCCATGGCCATATTTGTTAGCGTTGTTTGTTTTTAGCTTTATGTTTGTTTTTTGGCGGGGGGGGGGGGTGCCTTTTGGGTTCAATGTGAGTTGTTGGAAGAAGTCGGGGCCAGCGCGCATCCGAGCAGTGGCACCCAGCTCAGCTGGAATCGACGGCACCGGATCTTCCATTTGCTGAAACCAAATTTAGTTGGTTTATTTGCCCCAGTTGGTTTCCAAGGGGCATATGCATCTTCTGTCCAGGGAACTCAAACAAATGGTGACCGGGTGCTTTGGTTTTCGCGCTCCAGGCGATGCAGATTCTCGGCGACTTTGACCGCTGGCGGTTGCAGAAGACGGACGGGAGCGTGGATGTTGGTCTCGGCTGAATCTCTGGGGGTAAGGGACACTTAGGAACCTGGTAAGGGATGAATGTTGACCCCATATTCATCAAACCCAGTTTAAGGGGGGGGGTGCCCCGCCAAAAGTGAGGATTCCCCACCAAACCAGGGAGACCCCGAAATTAATAAAGTGTGGTTGATTGATACGGGGTCAACAGTACCCCTGCTAATGGCCATCCATACCAAGGGTCCACGTGTGGTCCAACCCGAGAGATACGGCCAAATACAGTTCGGCCGGCCATGAGTCCTGAAATTGGGACCTCCCGATTTCGGGAAAGCACAAATTTCAGCCTTCCTGGTGAATTGCAGTTCCTATTTTACAGGTAACCATCTATTTCTCCCTTTTGGGTTGGAGCCGGTGATTCCCTTGGTGACCTTCATGGAAATGGAATCATTGGGTATACTCGGCTGGTTTCAAAGGAACACCACCTGTTTGGCCGGGTTTCAAAAAGCCACCAACATAAATAAATAACATAAACACGTTCCCCATGTTTTGCGCCTTTCAACCCACCATGTTTTGCTTTTGTTTTTGGCGTTTTTTTTTAGGACTACACATTTCGAACAACATACCAGGGACGCATGGATCTTTCTCAAGCTGAAAGAACGACTCGCCCGGCGGAGACTTGTTTGAATTCAGCCAGGAAATCACCTACACGGCGGCGATCAGCTCTTGCGAAGCTCAGATGGAGATGGATCGCTGGCTTTGGCTCCTTTTCCAGTGGTGCCATGCATAGGGAATGCTTGCGGGTTCGACAGGTTGAGGGAATGATCCCTATAAGCCATCCTGCATGGTTTCGGTTTTTTGTTTTTTTTTGCTCTTGGTGCGATAGGTGGGTATGGGTCAAAAACAGAAACCACCAGGATATGGACTCCTTGTTTCCATTACGAGGGCAAGCCATTTTGGGATTGCCCTATTTCTGTCCCACAGCCAGGCCATCTGATTTGGTTTTTTTGCAGGTAATCCCCAAAACCGGTTCATTCCAAACACCAGGAAGGGTCATTCTCTGCTGAGCACCAGCAAGAATGACCGAGTCGGGCGTTGTTGCAATGAGCCGGTTTGGGGGATTCCCGAATAAAGGAAATGAAATCCGATGGATGAGTTTTTCTCATTCTGAAGGGGAGCTCAGTGCAGAAGGTCTTTCTTGGGATGGATACCCTCCCACCTTTTTATGTGGAACCCGTCCAGGATCCAGTCCCTTTCCAAGGAAAATCGTCTTCCAGGACCCCCGAATGCCGGTTCCATGTTAATTGGTGGGAGGGGAACTGGGCTTTACTGACTAAAAAGGGATTTTGACTCTATCTTCTTTGGGATTTTGGCCCCTGACAAAAAGGGATCCTACACAGTTGCTGGGTATTGAGAAACAAGGACTTCTCTGAATTGCAGAGGCACTTTCTAAGTCTCATCTGAATTTGGAAGCTAGGACGCCCCTTAAGAGTGGACACGACTGCACCTGGTGTCCGAGAGGGCATCGCTTTCTCTTGGTTTCCCTAGGCGTCCTGTTTGGTTGTTCTGGTAGAAACGAGATGGCGATTCCTGGTTGACCTGGCTGGTTGATCTGGTTTCACAATCCATCTATTTTCTCAAAATTAGAAGTCATGCTGGGTCTGCTTTCCATAGACTCCAGCCTTTGTTGATTGCGGCTTCTTTTGGAGTAGCTTGACTTTGCCCACCTTGCCTGCCTTGCTTTGCTTGCTTTTGACGGCTGATCTGGGCTTTGCTTTTGATTTGCCTGAGAACATCAAGCTGTGCTCCACATCTTTTTGGCGATGATCCTTAATCCAGAGCCCCCCAAAAATGGTTAGTGCACGTAAAACCCCACCTAAATGATGTTCACTCAAGGGTCCCCCATTGTTCAAGCATACCGTTTTGTGTAGAAATCCTCAAAGAGCTTGTTCGGGATGCTTCGACAGGCCGTCTCAAAACTCGTTGGAGCTTAGCTGAAAACCGAGCCACGACCAGAAACAAAAGGGGCCGTCATCAAATGGGTGACCCAAACAGGTTGAACCACGGGTTGGAACCGAGCTGAGCAACCAAGCGTTCTAACCACGACGAAACAATAATAACTACGACGGAAAAATAATAACTACGACGAAAAAACGGATGCACGTACACTATAGAAGGAAATGGAAGGCTCTGTAGAAGGAAACACACCCTTGCTCAGGAGCCTGCGGGGATTTGGCACGTGGCCTTGGCACTTTTCCTAGAGATGCGGCACGCTTTGCCTGCACGCGAGCAAGGAGTGCAGGCGACCGGGGGAAGGGGGGGTGTATGGAATTGGGGGGGGTGTGGGAATGGGACTGGGATTTCGCTGACGTCGTTGAAAGGGACCTTTCGCCCGGTTTTCCATGGTAAGTACCTCCTTTTTTAGTCAGGGCTTACATGACACCCCCAAAATACATGGGTATTTTGAGTACTTAAAGGGGCAGGGTACTTAGCAAATTCTTAAGTAACCATGATTACAACCCACTTACCATGGCTGTAAGTCCCCGTGAAGTCGGTTGTAGCCATGGTGGCCAGCCAGCCACCCACCAAGTCCTTTTCGGCTTTAGAGGACACCCTTCCTTGAAAGGAATCCCTGATTCCCTAGCAGCTCCAGAAAAGACACTCCTAGATAGCCAAGTCGCTGCTTTTTTCAGTCACTGTCGCGATCGGTTTTTGGGGAGCAGTGGATGGAACCTCTAGTAGCACCTGCAGACTCCTGTTTGGAAACGCGGACGTGCTACTAAGTTACTAGGAGTCTGCAGGTGCTACTGTTGCAGGTCCAGTTTTTGGAAAACATGTGGCTGCCCCACTAAAAATGGTCCAAGCCCCAAAAAGGGTTCCCTTTTTTCTCCAGGGTCACTGAGCAACTGAGTGGTTTTTGGGGAAAAGCGGATGGAAAAAAGAACCATCGCGCCGGGCGTCGCCCGGCGCCTTCGCCAGGCCGGCTCCGTGCTCCTGGCGCTGCGCAGAGCTCTGGGCCTTGCAAAGGCGGAGGAGCTGCTGGAGCGGTTCCGGCGCCTCTGGGAGGACCGGAGAGAAAAGAAATCCATGCTGAAAGCTTTGCTTCCATTGGCTGAAATGAGTGCTTTCTACATATCTGTTGACATGAGATGGGGTGGTCCGGGGCGGCCCTGAGGTAAGGTTCCACGAGTTCACCAGAGTTCCACCGCGGCTTCACGAGGGTTCCACGAGGTTCCACAAGGTTTCACGAGGGCTATGGTTCCACGGATATCCACAATGTTTGACAGGGCTTCACAAGGGTCCCACGAGGGTTCCATGAAGTTCAAGGATTTCACAAATTTTCGCGAGATTCTGCGTTGACGGGGTTATGGGGTAAGGGTGGCTGAGGTAAGGTTTCACAAAGAAAATCCCGCACGGGTTCCACGAGGTTCTGCGAGGCGTTCTGAGGTAAGGTTTTAGAGGGTTCACAAGGGTTCCTCAACTAGGAGCACGGCCTAGCTTTGCTTCGCAGAAAGCTGCATCCTAAGCAAAGCCGGCGGTTGGCCATGGCTTAGACTTGAGACCCGGGTCGGAGCCCGCTTGCATGACCGGTCCAGGTCGGGCCCGATTGCACTTTCGAGCCCCGATGGTTCAACGATTGTAAAGTGGCATCCTAAGCAAAACCAGTGGAGAGCTACGGATGGCTTGGTTGGTACTTTCGAATCCCGAAAGCGGGTTCTCAGCGGGCCCTGGTTAATTGGGCCAGTTTATATTAAATTCCACTGAACCAGGCCCCGGGGCCCGATTGTCGCCCAGCTTTGCTTTACACAGGTGCCATCGGGCCCGACCGGCTTCGATCGGGGCCCGACGGCGCAAACTCCAAACCGCCAACGCCAGCCAGCCAAAGCTCACTGCCGGACGCCGCCTGAAAACTGTATAAAGCAAAGCTGGGCGACGCAGCCGACGGGGCCCGAACGAGGCTGGACGGTGCTGGCCCCGCCAGACTGCGGAGTTGGGCATCTGCTGCTTGCACGGGCACATTCGAGCCAGAACGGGAACCCCATGCGCGCGGCAGGATTGACTGTGTTGGGCTGGGCCTGCGGCTGGGCTGGGCCTGCTGGTTGTAGTTTCAGTCACGTCACGCCCTTGGCTCAATTGCTCGTCCAGCCTTTCTGCGCCAGGTGGGGGATGTGGAGATGTTCTTTGAGCGCGGCGCTGCAATCATTCTTCACAGCCCTTGGCCTTGCTCACCCCTGATCGCTTGCAGGCTCTTGGAGTACGTCGAAAGGCAAGGCTGGCAGCTGCACATGGCGGAACTGCGAGGAGCGCTCACTGTAAGCCGGGTGGCAAAAAAGCGATCCGTTCGCGCGCTTTGATGTCGATCTTGATGGGCTGTTCACCCACGTTTGTGCATTCATGGTGCCACTCATAACAAGCTCGTTGCTCACGCATGGATGCATGCATGCTTGACCACCCATGTTGACCACGCATGTTGAAGTTGGCGCATGTTCACTCATGTCTTTTTGGGTGGTGTCGTTTGCCGGCTTGCAAATTACTGGAGAGTTGCAAGTTGCTGGAGAGAGTTTGCGCGGGGCAGGATACATGCATTTACATGGCCCGTCATGAGCCTCGCAAGCCAGGCGCAGGCGTGGGCCACGCGCCAGGCTTAGCTGCAGTTGTCACCTGCAAGGTGGCTGCGAACCGAGCTCGATGAGGCCTCTCTCAGCCCCTCTTTTTTTTGGCACACTGGCCGCGCTTCCAGTGCAATCTTCGATTTTCCGCAAAATTGTTTCTGCCAGTTTTTCCGGCCCCAGCCAGGTGACTCGCTTAGCCTCGCCTTGGCGATATGGCTGTTCAGAAAAACCGGTTCAAGCAGCTGAAGCAGGAGCCCAAGCTTTTGGACCGGCTCGTCGTTGGAGTGGGGCAAGTTCCCTGAACTCCTGGCGGCCTGCCGTTCTGCGCACAGCGCAATTTGGACCAGCTGCACCTTGTTGCAGGTTGGCTTCTCCTTCGTGCGAGCGCACAGCGAACACCTCTAAACAGGCTCAGACTGCACAAAGGGCGATGTGGAGCTCAACTGGCAGGCCCCCTCCTCAGGATGGCTCGCCAAGTCCTCATCCCAATTTCGTCGGTTTTTGTTTGCGCTAGAAACGAGTTTAGTAGTTATCCGCCCCTAAAAGGGGGTTATCCGCCCTTGGGTGTGCGTGGTTCGCAGGGATGTGACAAAAATATAAATAGAAATATATGTATACATACACCTTTCTCGGCAGTGGACCAGGTAACTGTCGGCTACCTGCTGGCCGTTTGTCCGGGCGCGAGATTCAGTGAGGACACGTGCAAGCAGGTGCAACAATGCCAAACGTACCGGGACAAACTGAGTGGTAGACCTTGCTTTGAGGAATGCTGGAGGCTTGGCGCCTGAAAGCGATCGGTTGCGCGCACTTGAGCAAGAAGAGATCTGTTGCGTGCCCTTTGCATGAGGTGAATGCGGGCCCAAGTGAAAAGTAGCGCGGCATGGCCCGCTCCGAGGACCTGCTTGCTCAGAGCAGAGCAGAGCGCGGAGCGATGACATTGGCAACGCATGCGAGTTGCCACCGTCGCCAGACGCAAAGCCACCGAAGTGACTCTCTCTGGCGTGCGCGTGCGTCTCTTGCAAATTGGGTGCGTTCATGCAGCCTTCCTGATAGCAGGCTAAAAGCAAGCCCTTGCCACCTACGCACTCTGACTAACGTCGGCGATTCGTTTCCTTGTGCGGGCCAACAAACTTTGAACTACTGGCACCAACGCGCTGTACCTAAACTGTAGCAGCGTAGCAGAATGCAGCAGCATCTGCATCATGCAACAGTTGCAGCATATGCTGCGCTTGCTCCTCTGGAATGATGCGCAAGTCTTCACTCATGCGGCAGTGTTTGCAGCAGCCCAGTTTGTGCTGGCCCCCACCGCAGCCTGCTGCTCTTGCAGGGTATCCGTCTTATTGTTTGTCTCCCGCGAGGTGTTGAAAGCTCTCACGGTGGACGACCTCGTGCCTCTTGCAGCCCGCTTGCGTGGATTGGGCTCAACAACCCTGAAAGCACGGTGTGGCAGAGGGGGAGGTCATCGGGTGGTGACGATCACAGGGCGAGGGTAAGAGTTGTGGTCTACAGACCGCCTACAGGCTCTTGCCCAGCCCGTTTGAGCTCAACACGCTCAGCCTGCAAAGCTTGGAGGCACGAAAGCATCATCAGCGGCAACATGGGAGTTGCAGACATTTTGATGGCATCGCGCTTTGCCTATGGCCTTACTGATGAGTTTGCCAGCCTCGATGTGTCGTTGGCTTTTGAGGATGCAAGCCTCGTGGATCACCGCTTGCAGCAGCTGCGCCTCTTTGCAGTTTAAACTCCTCTTTGCAGAACTTGCCTGGCCTTCTTGATGCGCCTGATGCGCATCAGCGGTGGCAACGTCGTGAATCTCAAGAGCTTGTCAGCCACCCTGTACGCCAGAAGGTTTTCGGAGAAGGCCTTGTGGGCTCGCGTATCTCGATAGCTGAATGGCGTCCCGCTCGGCTATTACGCGCCCCTGCATGCAGGATGTGGACTTGGAGTGCATAAAGTGAAACGACGTGGCGTCATGAGCGGCAGAATGAAAGGCGCGTGCAACCAATGCCAGAATGCCGCTGTGACATGCGTGTCACAGTTTGTTTGCAAACTGCTGCAGGACTGCCGCACCGGATGTGCTCGCGAGTCCGCATTGAACCTGCGCGTCCCGAGGTAGCGGGCCCTGACCTGGGCCCCGTGATGCAAGCCCCCGCCAACCCCAGCCACCCATAGCTCACCGACGGTTTGCTCAGAGATGCCAGCTTGGCACAGAGCAGTCGGGCCCCGACCGGGTTCCACAGGGTTCCGCATGGTTCCGCAGAGTTCCACAAAAAATCCACAAGGCTGCTGCTTTATAGATCGACGGCGGCGGATTGGTAGTTTGGGGTCTTGATTGCGCCGTCGCCGGGGCACCGTCGGCTGCACCACAACAACCAAAGCGGCGCCCGAAGCAAAACAGGCGGTGCTTGGATCGGTGGCTGGCTTCCTGGGCTGCGGTCGGGCCAGCAACCTCTTTTGGGTAGGGATTCCAACTCTCCAAGGGGGAGAGGCGCTGGGCTGGGAAGCGAGCCCAAACTTCCGTCCGATACGCCCCCTGGAAAAAATAAGCGCTTTCGTCCAGTGAAAAACCTATTCCCTCTAGAAACCACAAAGCACAGGAAAAAAACAATAAACATCGCCATAAACATCTTCCCTCAAGACACCAAGTAGGGGGAAAACAATTAAATATCGTCATTTCAGCAAACAGATGTAAAAACTCCGCCCGGAAAGACTTAAAAAATAAGCTCAGGAATCCCTAGCAGCATGCGGTGCTTTTTTTGGGTATCATCCCTCAGCTCAAAGATGTCCGCCAAAGGGTCCGAGACCCATTAGCATTCACACCCCAGTAGCTGAAAACTTTGGCCAGGTAACCGTCAATGTAGGATTGGGGATATGAATTTTGGGTAAAAGGGAGGGAATCAACCAGGGGTTAGGGGTTTGGGAATATACTTTGACGTTCCTTTGAAAGGGATGTTTCACAATGTCATAAGGGTGAGTCCCCTCATTCCCTGTAGCAAAACGAAAAAGCCGCAGCGTATGTGTTTTCCCCACTGAAAACAGGTAACTCCTAATTGGCAGTTACTGGTTTCTTGGTGCTTCCCAGCCATCCCCTTAGGTCTTTTGTAGTTTTTAGATTTTGGGTAGTTCGGGAGCTCGCCGATGCGGGGGAAGGTTCTTTAGTTGGGGGATCCCGGGATTCAGCTGGTGGACTTATGGCGATTTTTTGCAGAAGGATACATTCGAAATCGACGACACAATTTTCTATTGGTGGATGTCGAGGATCCGAATCCTTGCGGGGGGTTTTGGCAAGTACACTTCGCCAGCAAACATCGAGTTCTTCCGTTTCTGGCTGAATCTACCCCCCGGAGTCCGGAGTGGATCCCAGCTAATTCATAAATCGCCCTCTGCCATGTTCCTTTTGGCCTTTAAGAGGTGGTTCCCTAGGTTAGCTACAGGAAAATGGATCCACAGAATAAATCATATGAACCATAAGTTGTATGTGTACAATATTATTTGGATTTTTACCAATCTGTACTTGTCACCACATCAAATTGGGCCTGCAAAACGTGAGAAGATCCTGAGGGCAAGTACCTTCTGACTTTCTCTAGAGTATCTAGGTCCCCCAGTAGTGCCCTTTCTGGGTTCCGCTTTCTGGGTTCCGTGTCAGGGTAGCGCCCTGGGTTTGGCACGCGGAAGAGAGTCCTAGCAACCACAAGACTCCCTTGTTTGTGTGGGTGTGTGCATTTTGTCGTGGAAGCTCCTTTTTTATGTCTTGAAAGCGAACCCAGAAGGAAACCTTTGTTTTGGAGCTACCCTAAAAAAGACCCCCACTCGCCACCCGCCTTGCAGGGCCAAGGGAAATCAGCGCAAAAAATGGCCGACCCAAGGTCTCAGGCCCAGGCTCTTGCGCGGAAATGACGAGTCGAAAAACATGTGGCTGTGGGTCAAGAATGGATAACACTGGAACCCTGGCAAATTTAATGTTGACTCAAATGGCTGTGGGACAAAAGTAGGGTAACCCCAACATGGGTTGCCCTGGTAAATAGGAACATGGACTAAAACCTGCTGTCCCGTGGTGGTTTTATTTTGCCCCAAAGGATACTTGTGCTCCTCCCAAATAGTAGATTTCCGTACATGGTTTCCCTTTCAGCCACCCCAAAGAATGGTACCAACTCAAAAAAGGACAGAGACTCACTTGCCAACCGCTTTAGACCCCTGATTTGAGGACCCATATAACCAAGTCTCCGGCAGTTGATTCCAACCTGGAAAGAATGGGAAAGGTAGCCCATGACGTCTTCCAGTCGAGTTGCCGAAACCAACTGGTTGCTTCCATCCGATGGGCACCTGTCGGCATCGTTTGGAATGCTGCAGGGCTTCCGAGCTGTTTCCCCCTCTTTGGGACTTCCAGAAGAGGAAGCCCTTCGTTTCCGTGGACACCATTCTAGGGGCACCTTCCCCATTCTTTCCAGGCATTCTTTCAATCAAACCTCCAAAAACTTCTGGGGAAACAGCGATCGGTTTTTGAAAAGAAGGATGGTTGAAAAGAATGGGCAAGGAATCAACCCCTAAGTTAGGTAATGTATAATAATGTGCTGGGTCTAATTCATAATCTGTTAAACACTGTTTTCTGAATCAGCCCCTAGAACCATCAAATCGATCAACTTTTGAAGGAGAAGTCCGGTTGGAAGTTACCGCAGCCGCCCAGGAGGAAGTCCCGCAAGTGGAGCAGAGGCAAAATTGGTGCCGAGCCGAATTTGTCTCGTCGGCCGCAGCGGCCTCGCCGGGGTACTGAGAAGGGGCCGATTTTGGTTCGCAACGCTCAAAGATGGACAGGTAATGTCCACCTCTGATTAACAAACCCCTTTCCTCCCCAAACAACCGAGGTCCCTCAAAAGTTGGAACATTCATGAATTGTAGGTGTACATTAGTTTGTGCCCAGTCTTGTTTCCCAACAGCTGAAAGCTATGTCTGCCCAGATAGGCTCGTCCGGGTTGGCTTGGTGCCGCTGGCTTTGAAGGCACGCCATTTGCGACCACCACCATTTTTGTGGCCGAAAACTGAGACAAACCAATCTCTCCGAAAAGGTGCATGGGTATGTGTTTCCCGAGGTACCCTTTTTCAGCTTGGTTTAAAGGAACACTAGTTGAAAATGACACCATATTTTTTGTCGGTATCCTTTGATTGACGCATTCCCATAAAGATAGTTAAGTAGTTGCTAAGACCAAATGACAACGTGGTTTGAGTGCTGCTCAATTGAACATCTGCCAAGTCTCATGTTGGTCTTCGCAGACGGCCTCCTTTTAAGGTGTCCTCTGTTGGTTTTCTTTTGGCTTCCGGGCTTTCTGTTACCACTATAGTAGGCTTGTTCAGGGGAACCAACCATTGTAAGACCTGGTCAGGATCACTTGCAAACCTCTGGCGAAACGCTCGGAAGCGCTGAGTTTCATTGTTTCCTTTTGCAGGTGTCATCTCTCCTCGAGCTCCTTGCCACATCGATTTCCGGGAACTTGGATCCTGCTTTAGGCAAGCCAGTATAAGATATGGAGCCCCTCAGACATGGGACGCTGTCCTTTTGGTTTCCCTTTAAACCAACCCAAAGGTCACAAGATCCAAGCAGCCACACGGCAAACCAACAGACATATGCTACCCTCAGAAGGGTATATAACCACAACAAGGAACCTATCGAAGGCGGGTAGTCAGAAAACTTTGTGGTTCCCAGCCATCCCCTTGCTTTGTTAGCTTTTTAGGTTTTGTGGGGATTTCCATTTAACCCACTATAAGACCGACAGACCCCCCAAACTACCCCTTGTCACGCTTCCAGCTGTTGGGGAAAAAGCTTCCCTCAGACCAAAAGCCCCCCTCCCACACACATTTTCTTGCTGGTGCCCAGTAGCCAATGAGGGAATGAACCCTGGGGTCCTCTTACGAGAAACCACCGGTTGGATGGTTTATGATGTCATGCCAACTCTTTCGGTGCCTATCACACCAGCAAGATGATACCCGCTCAGACCAAACCGGCCCCCGCTTTTTTGGGGTGTCCTGCTCAGCCGTCTCCTTCTCGGTCGATGCGTCAGGCGGGTGGCCGGGTTCCGCGTCTTGGGCTCCGGCTGCGGGGTGCTGGCCATCGACAAGCCCCAGGCAGGCCGCCGGAAGATCGAAGGGGATGGGTGGCTCGTCATGTGGGTATGGGGCAAAATAAAACCACCAAGAAACCGCAGGTTTTGGTCCACGTTTCCACTTACTAGGGTTCCATTTGGGGTACCTGTTTTTGACCCACAGCCATGTTTTAGGATTACAACCCCCCCGTTACCCTTAATTGGTGGTTTGGACCATTTACCCCCTACAAGAACCAAGGGTTAAATCCCCAAGCCAACAATCCAAACCACCAATTAAGGGCTAGTTGATTGTTGGCTCATTTTAGCAGGGCGACGCAAACAACCGGCAGTTTTTTTTGCAAGCCCACACCAAGGGTTTGACGGATGAAGCAATGGTAACTTAATAGTACCCTACCGTTACCCGACTTAAATGTAGGCTCTACTGCATTCTTGGAAAAGGGTTTGAAGCGCACTTCTACGGTTGGCAAGTGCCACGTGGGAGTATATGGGTGTGTCTTTTTATGATGGTACCCTTTTTTGGATGGTTTTAAGGGGAGCTGCAAGCAAACCCCGCCAATTCTCAAGGCCCCCTATTTCGAGACAACCCCACGAGTATGTGTCATTTCCCTTAGGGCAAGCCGAAAAGAGTACACAAATTCCCAACGCCCCGGATGAGTCCATACTCAGCCGTAGGGTCCCTTGGTGCCTTCCCTCAAACCCATCAACTCCAACTGCGTCCGCCAAAAGAACATCCTCAAGATTACCCTCTGGCAGTTTGAAGACACCATTTCCCCAAAACGAGAATCTTTTTGGTCTTTTGGTGCCTTGCGAGGATGTTTGACCTCTTTCAACCCCTCAAAACCCGTCAACTCCAGCTGGGTCCATTAAAAATCACATCCTCAAGATTTGAAGGCACAATCTTCCCAACATCAATTTTGGCCACCCCTCAAAATCTTCCCACGCCCAGTTGCCGGGACGGGATGAGAGCCACTCGCGCCTCTGGCCTCTGGCGTCTCAGGGCGTGGAGACGGAAGTGGTGATCTCGGAGCTGCGGGCAGCGCTGCAGCGGCCCATCAGCTGCACCTCGCGGCTCGCCTCTTGGGCCGCACGGGTTTTTTCCTGACGATGGACTCGATGGACATGGTGGACTGGGTTTTGGTATCAGCCGGCTCAAGAAAGTGATTTTGGGGCCTCAAAATGTGGTGTTTTGGACAGGGGCACGATTGGGATGTTCACTGGGGGCACGCGCTTTTCACCCATGGCCAGTTGATTTGCTACTGGCTGCTCCAAGTCAAAATGAGTATTCCACGTCATCCCGAGATAATCACTTGTGATGCTCAAGCTGGCAAAATACAGGGCTCCTTAAAAGATCTCCATTTTGCCGGCCCATTTGAAACATGTTGCTTTTTCAACACCTTTTTTTTAACAAAAAAAATCACCACCATTTACAAGGCAATGTTCAGGTGTATAGGATCCCTCTTCCATTTGCTTAAGAACTAGGTCCCCCAGTGGTGCCCTTTTACCGTTTCTTTTCTGGGGGAGGGTTCCCCTACTAAAATAGACTACAGAAAAAGGGTTGCCCTTATTCTATCCTCTCCACTGCAGGACCTAGAGAATATTGTTTTATTTCCCCCGGTTGGTTTTTAGAGGGGATCTAATCACTGGAAATATGGCTCCTTTTTTGGGGGGCTTAAGCAAGTGGATGATTCGGCGGGTTACGCTCCCCGGAGCCTCTTGGGAACCCCAGCGGGGGCCTTACTTTGGTTGGTGTCGTGGGGCCCGAAAGCACATGGAGCCCAGCAAGCGCCAGTCGGGCGTACCTGAGCCAGCCTATTGGAGGGTCCAACTTTGTGTTTTTTTCGAGACAAAGGTCATTTGGGGTCATTTTTCTTCTGTTGAGGTTGTACATTTGGACTCCAAAACTGTGAGAGTGTGTCATTTTTTCTTCTTTTAGGCCAACCTGAACGGGCACACCAATTCCCAACGTCACGGTGTCCATACTGACCCATAAGGCCCCTTGGGTTTTTGCGGTACTTCAACCCAAACAACAGGTGTTTTGTTCGTGGGGTCGAGGGTTTAGCGTCCGTTTTCGCGGGTTTTCGCGGGAAACAAAATCTTTGGGCCGAGGATTTGCCCACCTCCGGGGTGTTGCCGGTCGCCTTGGGGGACGAAGGCCTCTGGTCGCCCATGTTTCGCGTCGGGGAGCGAGCGATGGAGCGGCCCCTGAATGAAGGGGCGTGGGATCACTCGGGGTGTTGCCCCAACCACTTCTGTGATACTTTTGAGGAAATCTCCTCCTTTGAAACGGAGATTGGGGGGGGGGGGTTTGACTTTGGGAACCTCATTTTAGTTGTATCACAGTGGATGCCATTTCCCACAGCCCTGCCCCTGAATCAAGGGGCGCGCGTCAACATTTTGGGACCCCCCAAGGTGGCTGAACGGTTTTCCTTTTGGTTTTCCTTCAAAGTCTCCCCAGCAAAAGGTTGCCCTCAAGAAACACCCCGAAATTACAGTGGGATCTTCAAACGTGATTTTTCACCCCTGGTTTGAAGTAACACCAGGAGCTCGCCCGTTTTGGAGTCTTCCCACAGTGGGGGCTCCCAGTGGATCCCACCTTCTTGGGTCTTTGGAGTCCCTGGTTTTTTTGTGCCATCTCTTGCCTCCCTAGTAGGGGGCCTCGTTTAAGGTTAGCCCACATGGCTGTGGCTCAAAAATCCGGTACCAAAATCAACCTGGTAAGTGGAAACATGGACCAACACCTGCGTGCCCCCTCCTGTAGGATTTTGAGCCACACCCACATCTGCGCTAAGTGGGCCATGACGGTCGTCAATAGGCGTTAAAGTATTGCCCTCCCAGCCTTTTCACGCTGAACCTGACGTGTCGGCCGTTGCCGGTTTGGAACATTTTCCCGTTGAAAGGACCATTTCCCAATGTCAGGTTCCATGTCAATTGGTGGAAGTACAAACCGTGCAAGCAACTTGCTGCTCAGTAGGGAATGACCTTTCCGGGAATGAACTGGAAGGGAACTCCCTTACAGGAAACCACCAGTTATATAGTTATATAGATGGTTTTGGTCGGGGGCATTCCATTTCTCATTCCCTGCCTACCGCAGCAGCAAGACAAGAGCGAACTCATTCGTGTCCTTTTTGTTTGCAGGCAATAGACGGCGATTCCTGGTTGAGCAAACCGAGGTTGACTGCTGGAACTATCTCCATTGCCATCCATTGGGAAGGTGCAGAACTTGCCCAGCAAAAATGATGCTCCAATATGGCACCTTGGTAAATGGAACAACTGCGTAACCTTAGTTTTTGTTTCTCCAATTTTGAGCCACAACCCAATTGGAGGGTTCAACAAACTCTAGTGGTTTCTTGACTGCTAAGTGGGTTGGATCTTTAGACTTCCAAACTTTTTTGGGATATCAAGGGGTTCTCCATTAAACCCACAAAAAGTTTTTTTTTTTTACTTTTTGCAGAGGGGTCAACAGCAACCAAGGTGTTTCCCCTTCCCAAGGCACACGCTTGCCCAAACCCCGCCCCTTCGAGGCTCCGGCGCCACCCAGTACCTGCGCGCTCAGTGGGCGGCGCGCCTGGTATCCAAGCAGTGCCCCAGCCGGCAGCCGGAGACGCGGATGGATTCGCCGGGGTACCTCCGGGATTTGGTTGATGTTTCCTCAGGAATTGGGTTGATGTGTTCCAATGACCACTCGAATTCCCCAGCAAACTTTACATAGTATACACTTGGGGTCGACCATGTTGCGCTTTTACCAGCCAATGTAGAGGGTCCGAATGCTTGCGAAGAAGTGTGGGTTTTGGATGAATCCTTTTGGCATGAACTTACCCAAGTTCACCAGCGAACACTAGGAAGTTCACCCTTAAAGGTGACCCTTTGCCATGTTCCTTTTGGCTTAAAGGGTGGTTCCCTTAGTTACTTACAGGCAAACGGATCCACAGGAAACATGTTCTTAATCATGGATCCAAGTTACAACTACAGGTGGCCAGCCGTTTTCCGTAAAGTTTTTGCGTGGCGGCTCCGTTGGTTAGCGCAACTTGCCTGCTGTGCATGGAAATGGGATCACCAGATAAGCTTTGATGGTTGGTTTTGATCCGTGTTTGTCTTGTCGTGTGTTTAGCTTCCTCTGGTCTTTTTTGTTGTTGATATTTGTGGTTCTTCATGTTGGTTTCCTGTTGCTCTATTGTCTCTGGTGCTCTTGTTTGTTGGTTTGCATTGTCGTTGTCGTTTTTTCCCTTTTGGGGCAGTTTGCCCTGTTTGTTGTTCGTTTCTTCCGGATTTAGGATCTATTGGTTTCCATTGTTTGTGCGGGCGTTCCTTGCTTCATTTCTGGGATCTTGAATGACCTTAGATTTTGGGGGAAGTGTTCACAGGGTATTGCCGACTCCAGGCTGATGGTTCCCTTTCGTCCTTTTGGTTTCTTTTGGATGGGTGTCGGCCTTCTTTCTGTTGGTGTTCTTGTGGTTTCTTTTCGGTGTTCTTTGGGTTTCCCTTTCTCTCCTATGGTTTGCTTCTGGCCTCTGTTGGGTTTTAACTCGGTGTCATTTTCTTTTTGGTTTCCATTGTGTCGTTTCATTTCCTTGGGATTTCGTTTTGGCATCTTGCCCATCAGTCAGGCAACCCGGTTTGGATTTGGATTTCAAGCCCTGGTTCTTGAGAACAATGGGGTTTTCCATCCCGGAACACCTCCAAACCGGGATCCAAACCACCAGGAAGCTGATCAATGATTTGCTCATTGTTCAATAGGGGTCAACAAAATTTTGGGTTTTATTCCATGAAAGAAACATGGTTGGATGCTCAATTCTTTTTTGCCCCATTTTTTTTTACATGGAAGATCCCCAACAAGGAACCGGCCAAGAATTGGGCCAAAAAAGGTGCGCGCCGCTCGGCAGCTCGGCGCCTCAGCCGCGAAAACACGCGAGGTACCTGTGCCTTTGCGTGGGCGAGGCCTTGCCCGCCACGCGCGGCGAGATCCGTCGAGGGATCCGCCCGGTGCCTGGCAACCTGCTGATGCAAGAGGTGTCTCCATACGGGCGCCCAGCCAGGACCAGCGAAAGGCAAGACACAAAGCACGCAGCTGGGGCGGAAAATTTGGTTGGGATATTTTTTTGCTGATTCGTTCAGGGTGGGAAGTTGGTTGGATTTGTTTTCACTCTGTCACCGAGAAACATTACCCGCAAGTGGCAACCAACTCTGATTTGAAAGGCCTGAGCTCCACGCACCGGACCCACTGCTCGCTTCCTGCGAACAGAAAGGCGTCGACATGTTCTACAACCTGCCCTTTTAGGTGGGAGTTGTTGACATCACCTGTTTGGTCAGTTTAAAGTGCGTTGCGCTTGGGTTTGGGTGATGTGTGTTTTCCCGGCGATCTGTGGAGATGTTCTTTTGGGAGCCCAGTTGCTGTTTTTTGTATGTCGTTTCCAAGCTGGACACCAGTGTTTGCATTTTGGTATAGTTTAACGTTGAACACCCCGCGCGTTTTACTTGGGTGCTCCGTTGCTGTTTGGCGGAAAGGTTCTTGTTCCAGGTCAGTGCCACGGAAGGATTCATTCTGGCCGCTTCTTCAGAAAAGGTCTGGCCCCGCAATTTGTAGATATGGGGCTCGTCATGTCACCAGGTGACAAACTAGATTGGTATGTGTCGAAATAGGGGGTCCGGCATGGATGGTTGTCCTTTGATTTGATTCCCCTGTGAAACGCGCCCAAAGAATCCACGAAAGGAAAGGCCCGAACAAGATCACGTGGCCTTGGTCGCCAGAGCCTGGCCGGGCCATGATCACTTCGCTGTGCCTGGTATGTTTTTGAAATAGTTACTTCCCTGGTTTCGTCATGGCCAGCAGCCAATCTTGGAGGGAGATTGGGAGTTTCTTGAAACCGTGGACCCCTTCAATCAGCGAAACGACAAGAAAAGGCAAGCGACCAAAGAAGGGCGGCCAACTTTGAGAAACCACCCAAGTACTCCTCATGAAGATTCCTGGCGATCCAAGCCACTGCACGCGCGCAGGACCGCCTACCAAGTCTTGGCCTCTTATTCCCACCCAGAAAACGAGTCGACGCTGAGCCTGGTGCAGGTTCAGCTGCTGACTGGTCCCTTGGATGGAGTGTCGACCGGGGTCGATGAGTTTTTTAACAATTGGAGCCACCTCCAAACTGGGTGAACATGAAAACCCCCACCAAATTTTGGGCCCCTACTCAAGATTCACGCCACGTTTGTTTTCAGGCAAAGCTGGTTGGTGAACATGAATTTGCTCTTGTTTTGCCTTTAAACAACCCAACCAAAAAACGGTAGTTCCGGGCATGTTCGAGACCGATGTTCTCACAACTTCAAGCAAGCCCCACTCGACCCCCAGTTTTTGGTGGAACCCTTTGGCCTTTTTTGCTCGGCGGCTTTCCCGCAAAAAGCCGTGTCAACCAAAGAAGGCGTCCGAAGTCTTTGTTTGCCAGGATCCCTGAAATCTCCGGCATATGTTTCAATGTTAACCAATGAAGCAGAATCTGAACATATGGGTATGTCTCCAAATAGGGCAAAACCCAACATGTATTTCGGTTTTCACCTTGATTTCCCTTCAAGCCAACCTTAAAACGGGTACCGTCTCCCAAAACGACACACCCCCAAAGGTTGTTCTTCTTTTGGCTCCACGCGACGTAGGTCGCAAGCATCAGATCCGGGTGCATTTTGCCAGCATTGGCCGGCCACTTGCGGGTGACCGACGCTACGGAGGCGCCGCGGCGTCGCGGCTCGTTGGCTCGTCTTGTCGACTCATGGAACCCAGGCCTCCAGTATCCGTCAAAGCCCGAAGCGAAGCTTCGCAGGTTTTGATTCGAACTCAGTTGTCCCTGTTTGGGCCGGCTTTCCAACGAGTTTTTCAACTTTTTTCTGGGGTAATGTCAAGCCAGGATTCATGAATCCCTGGTTGACTCAACAGGAGGCTGCCACACTCGATTTTTACCAGCAACTCATCCAAAACTTGTGAAACGAAACGGGGACGTTCGCCAGAAAAGCGGGACGTTCGCCAGGACGTTCTCCTCAGCAACCGGCCGATTTTCTGGTGACTTTCTGTGAAGTGCTCATGGTTGCTTAGCCCAGATATCGTGGAACCTCCAAAGAAGTTCTGAATGTTCGAGGAATTTGGCAATTCCTTTTTATGCGACTCCCTGGACCCCCGTTATTCTACTCCATGTTGAATTTCATGGAGTAATTGGTTTGATCCTTGTAGGTTCTGCAACCATTTTGTGCGGTAAATTTCAGCCGCCCGAGAACCACGCTTTCGCTGATATGCCAGGTGCTGTTAAGAACTCATACACTCATGATCAGGTGTGGCCCCCAGTTGGGCTATGTCCCTTGATGTTTCTTTGGCCAGGAACGGTTCGTTCTGAGAAAGGAACCTTGCGTTTCAGTTTGTGGCAACAAATCGAACCCTTGTGACTTTGCGCTGGACTATTCTAGCTGGTGGCTGGAAGGGAGCCAAGTGGGCCAAGTTCCACTTTCAAGAGGGAGCTAAGGAGCTAGCATGAGTTCTGTAACGACATGGTAGTATTGAAGAAGCTTTGCTGTGTGTTCCTTTTTCATGCAACTGAAGCCACAGGGTCCCACATGAATGATGCATAGCTTGTCGTTGACCCCAATCACATAGCACAGATTCTAAGGATTTCTGTGTTAAACCCCGCAGCGCACCCGAGAAATTACCCCTTCAGGTGATGAGCCCAAATGCGAACCCAGGGTCAAATTTCCCAGGGTGTTTTTTCCAGGGTGTATACCAATACCCTGTTGGCAACTTGTTCCCTGTCCCAGCGGACAACCGCTGTCCAATGCCGACTTTTTTTCACCACTCGGGTTCCCTTCTTTGGCCCACTTCAGTCAAGATCCCAACAGGTGAGACAGGCGCTTTTCAAGTCTCATAGAATCCATCTACAGGCCTTTCCACGGAAAATTTTCGCCAACCACCCACCAAACAACAAGTTAATTGTTGGTAGAGCTTCCCTTTTTTGCAGGTTTCTTGGATCTTTCTTTGCTGCGCCCCCCCTCTGCCCGGGTGTCAGGCGCCAATGATTTTTGGTGCGAGCGGATGTTCCTGCACTGCCGGCGCTTACAAGTGCGAGACCTGCGAGGCGCGGGCATTGAACTGGGCGTGGCTTAGAATTGAGGGGATAAGAAGAAACATATTTAAGAAAATGGGCGGGGGGGGGGGTTCCCTTTCGTGCCCCTCGAAAGCAACGTCGAAATGTACCCTCGAAAAAACGCCGCTCCCAAATGAGCTCGCCCAAAATCCCCGAAAGGAGGATTCTGACAGGCATGGATCCGGGTAGGGGTCACTCTTCGGGGGGAGCTTGGAGCTCGCGGAATGTACGGAGATAGTTCTACTGCCTGGCTTCATGGGGTTTGAAACGAAGCTGACATGCGTCAAAGGCTGGCAGGCCTGCATCACTCCCAAGTTGGCCAGGTTTTCTTAGTGGTAGAAGTTGGTTTTTGTCTTTTGCCCCGCGTTTAGCTCCCCTGCAGATATGTTTTTCATGGGAGGCTCGGTTCCCCAAACGGAGGGTTGCTTGGGGATGGAGTTGTTGGTCCCACGTGAATCATAGGTGTAACTGGTTTAAGTATGATTCACTGAGGAATGTACATATATGGCGAGATAGATATGATATATGCATGTCACAGGTTAGTTGTGTCAAGGTTGGTGCTTCAGGGCTGAGACAAATGCTCAGAAAGGTTTGAAGGGATGCCTGTCTTTAGATTTTCCTTAGTGTCAGGGTTCCTGATCAACTTTGAAGGCTCAAAATGGTTCCGGATCGGCGCTCGCAGATCCAATCGGAGGGACACATGTTTCCATCAGGCGAGAAAGGGTCAACCGAGAAGGTGCCAGTACATTAACATCCCTTCCAAAAGTCCGACTCCTGCAAGCAAAAGAGCAGCTAAACACCACGGTCAATACGGGGCTTCCCGATCCCCTAGGTGCAATGCTCAGGGAAGTCAATCGTTTGGCTCGGTCTGGCGGTTTTGGGTCACCGGTGCCGTGGGTATAGTGGACGGCTTGCAGAAAGCCACTATAGGGGCCCGTCTTTTTTTTGGAGGAGCCTCCACAAAATCGGTGGTTTTCCTTTTGGCTTTTCCTTTTCTTGTAAATCCACCAAAAAAGGAAAAGGTACCATCAGAAAAGGGCGTGGCCCACCCCACACAGCAATCCTTTTTTGTCCCACAGCTTCGGAGTCCTTTTGGCTTCTCAAAAACAAAAAGCCCCAAAGGGAACTCCAAAACACCCACCTGGCAATGGGTCGAATTTGTCACCGAACAACTGGTTGGGTTTTAGTCCATGTTTCGACTTATTCTTGGGCCAGCCATCTTCGGCTCCGTCGAACGCCTGCGTCGAGGCCGGCGCTTGGTGGTGAAGTCCCCGCTCCCAGCGGAGCTGGCGGCGCTGCTGAAGCGGCTGGAGAAAAAGCGCCTCGCGCACATCGCGCGCGCTGCGCGGTTGGACGGTTGGGTGCCACCCAGACCTGTGGACGGCTGCGAAATCCGTTCGCACCACCTAAGAAACCAGGGTTGAAGCCATTGTTGTTGTAATTTTCCATGGAAGCGAATCTGGCGCAAAACGGATTTTGTGCATCCACAGTATTGCCCGCCGGGATTCCGGCGCGACAAAAGCCGCCGGGAAGGATCTGGGAGGGGGGGGGGGGGCAAAGCCGCGGTAAATCAATGTCTCGAAAAGCAAGGGTCCGTTTTCTTGATTTTGGGAGGGAGCTTTTACTCTCCTTCACCTCTGTTGCCCGGTGGTGCCCTTTTTTCCTTTTTTTGGGGAAGGGTTCCCCTTTAAAGTCAAGCAGCCAGAAAAGGATGCCCCCCTTTTGTTGCCATGGAAATCCACTGGGCATCTGAGTTCCGGTTTGAAATCTTGAGACGTTGAGACTTGGAGGTAGCCACCTACGATCAGTTCAAGACCATCTACGGGAACTTTGGCATCAAGGCGGGGGGGTTTGGCGGTTTTGGGCCTCGCGCCTGGCGTGGGGAAGAGCACAAATGAACCTTACCATCCCACGCAAGATCCCCCACTATTGCCTGGTAAGCAGTGACTCCCACATTTTCTGCGTTTTTTTCCGTTTGGTTTCCTTCAAAAAACGCCAAACAAGAGTATCCTCAAAAACGAGACACCCACCTTCCCCGGGAAGAACGCCGCAAGTGTCGCAAGAGCGGGCAGCGAGGAGCGTGGATTTGGCAGCAGGAACAGGCGAAGGATCCGGGGCCTGCGCAGAGGATCACTGTACACTAGAGCCGCGCCCATTTTTTATACCCAGCTGTGTTTGTTTTGTGTATGTGTGTGTATTGGTTGTGTTGTTGTTTTTTTTGTTTGGGGGGTATTTTTTTTTTTTTTTAAAAAAAAAAAAACAAACACTTTTGCCATATCCGAAATCGGACAGCCCAGCACATTTATCTTTCTTTTGGTTTTAGGCAGCTTTTTGCAAGGCCATACTATTTGGGTTGCTTGTGCACCGATCTTCAAAGAAGCTCTCAGCCACCCATTAAGATCGTTAAGATTAATGTGAGTTGCTACTTTGTGTTTTGGGGGGTTTTAGGGTTTTAGTGATTTTCAATGTAACAGTTCATTAGTGGTTTTATTGGTTTTAGTGTTTTTTTTTTGGCTTTTTTTAGTGGTTTTCGGTTTGTCTGTGGGGGATGCTGAGTTGTCGTGTCTTGTCAGGGGAATTCCAATGTGGTGGCGTCCTCCTTCACCGCCGGCCTGGCCTGGGCCCCGAAGACCCAAGGACGACCAGACGACCAGACGACCCTAACGTGGTTGACAGGGAACTGGCCTTTTTTTTATAAACAAAAATATTTAAAACCCCTTAGCGGCGTTCACCGGAAACCAAGGGAAACTCCGAAGCCATTTGGGGGGGAGGGAGGCAGGATGCACTTGGTCCATTGGAAAGAGGGTATTGGCCCTTGACTCACAGCCCCGAAACGGATTGCTCCGAGCCTCTTGACAAACCGAGAGAGCATTTGATGTACCTTGCCGATCGGGAACCCTGAGCAGGGTAGTGTGAAGGGAAATCACCAAGCAGACCCCGGACAAATTAAGCAAAGATTGCCCAGTTTTATACCTCAGTTTCCCCGGGAAATGGTTGGTTTGGGTAGTGGTTGCCCCATTGTAGAGCCGGCACTGTCCTCTTTGTCGGATCCTTCACGCCGAAAACGACACCGAAATTCCTTGCCGTTCGAGGAGCCGACGAAGCGGTGCGTTCTTTTTTGACTGTTTTGGTTGAAAATCCAACTTGGATTTCCCAAAATTCACGTGGCCAACGGTTTCCAGAAAAAGCTGACATGCCTTCTGTTGTGTTCTGTTGTAACCCCCCTTGTTCAAGGGAAAATCAAGTGTAGTGCTTTTGTCTAAACTAGGACCTTTTTCATTGGTTCAAAGCCTCATGATGTGAAGCACAAGGGGGGTAAAGACCGAAAACATGGCGCTTAGGTCTATTCCATCATCACCATGCCCTTCGAGGCCTTCTTGGCACCTTTATGTGAGCAGAGATGGCCGATTGGCCGCTCGCAAGCTGCCGACATGGCAAGGTTTCGAGGGTTCCTGGAGGCCGTGGGGCAGAACCATTTGCCTAGGTTCTCTCACCGATGTCTTTCATACTTGAAACCCGAGTGTTCCCTGTCTCCCGAAGAAAAGAAGCAAAGAAGCATCCCCCTTTTATTTGCATGGTTGGTGCCTTGATTTTTCCGGACCAGGTGACATGGTTCAACAGGTTTGGGGTTTCCATTGATTTCTCCGCAGACCACAAGGCTTCTGCCACCTTGGGTGTTGATCACTCAATGGTTCCAGTCGCGAAAGCACAGGACAATCATGTGTTCCATTCGAACGGAACCCATTTTTTACCGATTGATCCAAGTTGAGTCGAAGATCACACGCGTTGCTTCTTTTTGCGAGAAAACAAAAGAAAGGAAAAGACCTTCTGTTCAGCAGCGGCGGTCCATTCTAGAAAACGGGGTGTGCGGCGAATCTGCGGATTTGGCCCTGTCAGATATCAGAGAGTGCCAAAAGAGCATCAGATTAAAAGCCCACAAACAGGGACCAACAAGGAGGAACATGTGGAACTAGTGGCCACATCATTCCCTCCCCCAAAAACCCACTGGATCTCCGAAACCCGACAGACGCGGCTCCGAAAACCGGTTTCCAGCCGCTCGCTTTTTTTTTGCTTTCGGCGCCAGCTAGCTGTGCCAGTCTGCCAAGAACCGCATGGCCTCTCAGAAGCCTGACCCGGAGACCAAGCAGCTGCCGTGCCCCAATGAACCGAAGCGCTCAGCGAACGAAGGAACGAATCCGGGTCTCTGAGCACGTGCGCAACCTTTTAATTCGGGAGTTTGGGGGTGGCCAGATGAAGAAAGCTGGTGCTTTTTCTTCCCCAGAATTAGTCCCCCTGTTGCTTTTTATTTGCTTTGTTGGGGTTCCCTTTGTTTTCCACTACCGGGCCAAAAATATCATCTTTTGCTTTTTTGAGGGGTTTGGGAGGGCGCTTTTCGTGTGAGGTCGATGGGAGTATGTCTTTAAACCATCACTTCCAGGGTGATTTTGAACATGCGACTGGCCCAGGCTCTCGACTGGTTAAGATTGGTAACATGTTTTTCCTGGATCCTGGGCTTGGGGTGCCGGGCAAAAAAAAGGTCGACACACCTCTTAGTCTTCCAGCATGAGAGAAGCACGACGGGTTGTGAAAGGAATCATGCCCAATGCGCACGGGCGGAGCTTGGATCATGCAAGTCTCGGAACTTCTTTGCCGATATGAAGCACCAACCCCTGGTAGGTTTTTGGTGCTGACGCCTCTACGGCAGCCAGAAATTTTGATGTATTCTTGCGGAAACCATGCTTCCCCTCTCAGACTGCCCGCACATGGCAACATGTTCACGTCGTCAGCTGGGATAGCTGGAGATTCAGAAGTTCGTCCGGTTTCAGGACACTGTCGAAGTTGCAGTTTCGCTGCGGCGAAATGCACACAACGCCCTTTATGATGGGACCGTCGTGGTGAATTATGCACACTCCAATCCTCAAAGAAAAAGAGCCATGTGTGCATTTGTCTCAGCGAAGCTGCGATTTTGAAGGACGCCGTCACCTTGTGTTATTTTGGGTTCATTAGAGAGTTGGCTTTTAAGGAGATTGGCCATGACAAGTGACTAGGTCCCCCAGTAGTGCCCTTTTACCCTTTTTTGGGGGAGGGTTCCCCTACTAGAATAGGCTACAGGAAAAAAGGGTACCCTTATTCTAACCTTTCTACTGGAGGACCTACGTACTGTAGGTGAAGTCATGTTGCTTTTCCGTTTGGCAGCTGTCCATAGTCAAGGCTTTCGCTTGAATCCGAGCCATCCGGCCACGCAGACACATTCGCCCCATGCCACGTCGTAGTGTCAGCCCCTTGCCGCCAGAAAGGCCG